GAGCTTTGCTGTGCTTCGAGCTCTGCTGTGCCTCGGAGGTGAGGCCAGGGGCTGCATTGCGCACTGTCGTTTTGTTGCGCTGGATGCCGCACATCCGGACTCGTTGGTCCAAACTGCGAGAGGGAGGAGCTGCAGCTGCAGGTGGAAGAGGCGCAGGATATTTCTGCACGATACCCGGACCACCATGTGTCTGATCTTGATTGTTCTGTTTTTCCCATAATTTCAAATTTGTCTCTTTCTCTGCTTTCGCATCCACACTGCTGCCTCTTGCCGCTGTGTTGCCTCTTGCACTTGCACTTGCACTTGCACTTGCACTTGCACTTGCACTCGCACTTGTTGTCGACTTTCTCCCCATCTCTCTCTCCAACACTGTCCCAACGGCCTCGCGCGGCCTGGCGTTCCGGTCACACGTCGTACACTCGATAGTCGATATACCATATCTGAGCCTTTGATCACCCGTAGCGGTATAAACAGAAAACGGCAATCAGCCACACAGCATCATACTGATAAACGCGCGCTGGGCGATATCCAGACTTTACCTACTCAACACCCGAGTGCTGCACGAAGCTAACCCCTAATAAGCACAGAGGCGTCACGTACTGGGTCCGATACCTGCTAGTCACGAGCCCGTTTAGATACACTCGCACACCGTCCCTTGCACACCTTCCCACGCACACCGTCCCTCGCACACCGTCCCTCGCACATCTTCCCACGCACACCTTCCCACGCACAGTCAGGGGTAAACCTGCCGCTGCTCATCTGCGGAGAGAAATGCGGCCCGGGCCTGGGAATCTGGTTTGGGAGAGTTTGCAGTGGAGATGTGTCTTGAAGACTTGTTTACCGCGCTGGACTCCTGCACATACATTCACTCGGGGTGCTTCCATGTCTCCGTGGGTGAATCGGTCGGTATGTATACCCACGTCACCACGCTGTTTACAAAGCGCCGTGATGCTAATGTACTCGAACTGATAGGTTGACTAGAGGTCTTCATTGTTCTGAATTTCTTTTAAGAGTCGTTTGTGCTCACGCTGCCAGATACGACTTTGACTCTGCCGGCGTACCGGGCACTCTCAGTTCGTGGAGCTGCTGGCTTGTGTACAGGCCGTGTCGTGTCTTCTGCGACGGAGTTCTTGATCTGAGATCGCTCGCCTACGGCCTTGTTGGCTTTGCTACAGGAGAGACGCACAGATTGCTAACACAATCAACTTTCCTCACTTCGCATCCGCTATCTAGACTCGTCGACGTAACAACTATCAAGTCTGTGCAGGCGTCGCAGATCATGGACAATCGCTGCTCTCGCTGAAGACCACGTTCGGTCTTGAAAACACCACCTTCCTCATGGGCTACTGTATTTACCAGCGCATCCGTAAATTGGGGGGTGCAGAAAAATCCAACAACGCTCTGCATCTGACGCTTCGCGCATGCTTGAGGGCACTAAACAGTGGTGTGCAGCGATGTAGACTCCTCGACCGAAGCCTCAATGTCATAGTGAAGGAATGGGATACTCCTTTTCTAATTGGGAAAGCCAGGCGATACCTCACGCTGAACAAGAATACCACAATGACCAATCGATATGTCAATGACTAACCGATATGTCAATGACCAATCGATATGTAGTTCGCTGCAGAGATTAGATTCAGGATATTAATCGCGTTTTCTGCACCTCGAACCTGTCCCGCCTGGGACGTAAAAGCACCTCTGTCGCGTTTCTCTTTGTGCTAGGCTCAGCAGTTGTATATCGCACTGTATACAAGTCAGATCAGAGAGGCCATCTGAACATGTGCGCAAAAGTACTCCCTGACTTGATCGGTTCAAGGTTACTAGATTGGAGACCCCCATCTTCCACTGGGACATTTAGAACTAGAGACGATGTCAGCGCCTGGCTTGCTTCCAACAGCTTCATTATAAAACTCTAAGCCATGGCCCGGGTCATCTGGATGATGGCTCCCTCGACGGTCAGATGTAACAGACCAGGGTTGCTACCAAGCACTGGAGTGGCAAAGTCGAACATGCTGGGGCAAATGTCTACGATCACAGCTCAGCGGGGCGCGAAAGTTGACTTACAGCCACTAACCGATGACATGTTGATCGATCTGCGCCCCTGCTTCCTCATTTCTGGAATCCAGAATGAATCATCACCCATCTCACGACCCGCTGTACACTGAAAAGACGCCGCAGGGTATCGATCACTGAGCCCCGGTGGAGGCACGAGTCGATGCTGCGCGGTCTGATACTTAGTTCCAGTTTGCCTACTAGTAGAAGCACATGTTGGCATTTGTAGTAGCTTGTGTTGCCTAAGCTACAGCTGTCGTAATCTGTGCCTAAGCTACAGCTGTCGTAATCTGTATGCCTAGCGTGCAGTTAGGAATTTTTAGTAATAGCTCATCCAGTAGCCTACAATAAAAGTAGGTAGGTGTCTAGACATGTCAGAGATAGTGCAGTATAGGGGCATATAATTGCATTAGCGTTAGCACAGGGCCTGTGCAGTACGTAAATGTCGTGGTTCGGTATCTCCGCGGGAGAGGCGAGCTGGACTTCTGTCGTTCAATCGGAGATGCTGTGCCAGTGCCCACGATCCTCGTGTTCATGGGCTGTCCAGATGGCCACCGAAGTTTCGACGTATTTCGGGCACGAGGACAACAATTCCTGGCATCGAGAAGATCTTCTGGCTTGAATATACTGCGTACCCGATCAACGGAACATGGTTAGCATGACGACCTCTCAAACTAAGGAGGCCTGCTTTGGCTGCGTACTAATGGATTGTTTAATCTAGGGAGAATGTCAATGCAACAGCTAGTGTTCCAAAGTACCCCCATAATATCAGTGCTATGAGGAAACCGTGTGACCTCCCGAAACCTCTCCCTAGACCAAGAAAAGCCGTGCATCAATAGATGGCGCTGTCAGTGCACAGACTGCACACATATAAACTCCTCGTGGACCGAACGCCAGAACTCCACCAGCTACATGCCCGCCAGTTTGCCATTATTCAACCCATCTCTTTACTCAATACAAAGCCACCACGCACCACCGAACACGAACGCCATGACAAGTATCGTCAAAATCGACGCTCCTGCCTTATCCGCCGTAGTCATGGGATGGGTGTGCAGCTGGGGAATATCATCATCGACACTTCCCGTGCCCAGTCCTGGATCACCTTTACTCTCGCCGCCCGTCTTGGACGTATACGGCGGCGCAACGCGATCCACGTTCAGCACAGATATAACATTCAGCGCCGTCATCTGCTGCCCGACGCCCTGAACGCCGTCAAAGCCCTCCCACCACCAGCGCGTGCCGCAGGCGTAGTTGCCCGCGCCGTGCTTGCTGGCGCCGACGCACGTCTGCGCTGCGGCTTTAGCGGACGTTTGCAGGTGCGGCATGATAATGTCGTGTGTCCAGGGCGCCATTTGTATGCAAACACCCAGCCAGCGTGCGAGGTAGGCTTTGAAGGATTCTTGGTCCGTGTTGCAAAGTTCTTTTGCTTCGCAGATTTCGGTCATGATGCCCCGGTAGTACTCTGGGAAAAATTGTTCGGTTTTGTTCAGGTGTCGAGCGAGTGCCGAACGCCATTTTTCGGCGCCGTTGGTGTAGTTGTACATCTGTGTTTGTTAGTGCCTGTTGGTGTAGAGGATCAATGGAGAAGATTACGTATGCGGCTCCTGCAATCATGATGCCGTAGTTGTAGGTCCAAGGTATCCTGTCTGCTTCTTTGCACGGCGGGTCCGTAGTCATGCTCATGCCATCGTTGATAGTGCCGTCCTCTTCAATTAACGCGCTGTTGTCCATCCAGTCGTATGCCTTCTCGGCCCATTTAGCGTATGTGTCGTTTTGCGTGTACATGGCGAGTCGGGCGCCCAGGTGGAAAAGGCCGCCATTCGATGCCGTGTTTTTATACGTCCAGCCGTTCAGCCATGGGTAGATCTGCCACCGCATTCCACCACCACAATTGCCGTCATCAACCTCCTTCTGATAGCGCTTGACGAATTGGTTGAATACAGACTGAACCATCGCGAGCCAGCCTGGTTTGTCGTCAGGAGGCGCAGGGAAGTTGTACTCTGCAGCGGACATCATGGTGAATGCCCAGAAGACCTGGTCATCGTTTCCTTCGTTCTTCGACTGATTATATGGCATCTGGCTGTGTTAGACCAATAGACTCAGGTCTCACCAAATGTAGCAGCCTACCAAGTCCAGCTTCTCGCCGAATTGATGTATCATGCCTTCGCGCATCATGTCGTTGTACTGATCATCCCCAGTATACCTCCAATAATCAAGCAACGTCCCGAACATAGCTCCTGCTTGCCACCAGTAGTAAGGCGGATACAGTACTCCAGGATAGCCACCGAGGACATGCACGCCCGCGTTGTCTTTGGTCGCATATTGCGCGACCAGCTCTTTTGCAATCTTCGATGCTGCATCTTTGATTGATTCTACAGGTATGTATCAGCGATTGTAGCGAGGGGAATTGCTCAGAGGTCGCGCACCTGGTGAGGCAGGATCCAAATCAATCGCACTGACATGTCGCACAGCGTCCGTCGAAAGTAGACTGAGGGCGGCTAGCGCTCTCGCAGGGCTAAACCACTTCATCTCGAAGCGAACATGTGAATGCGCCGTTCCAGGAACCAGCAGAATTACTCGACGAGCCTTCAGCGAAAGTAATGACCCAGTGTAGGAACGAGAAACTAAACAGTTGATCGTGAAACAGCAGAAGTGAGTGTAAGAGCAGAGATCAGAAGCCAGCAGCTCAAGATGACTGCAGGGCAGTGCAGATTTGCACGCCGGATGCGCGCGAGGAATGTTCGCATTCAGTCAGTTCGGTTCGCCTGCATGTATGATCCATACGCAGCACACGGCGTTTTCATTACCTTGCGATTCTGCGTACGGCCCTGCATCGTACCACTCAGAGTAAAGCAGGTCCCGTGTTCGGTACTCAGCGCTCATCGATTACATTATTATTGGCTGTAGGGTACGTTGTTGGCTTCATCCATGAACGCCGGTCCACTCACACAAAGGACCACAGCCCTACCGTCCCAATCAACAGCGGTAACAAGTGGGGGTTAAAGGTAGGTTTGCAATCTCCACTCCAGTTTTGCAACACACGCCAAGCCCGCCATTGTGAAGATCAAGCTTTCCGCTGATGGTCCCCCTGAGCACAAGCTCCACAAGCTGTTGCTTACGGAAGTGGAGCGCTTTGGCTTTCATCATCTGGCCCATGTGATCATCGCTGATGCAGAAGTATGAAGACAAGATTATTTGGATGCAATGCGATGCTGACGCTGTTCGCTGCACTGGAGATGATGGGGGAAGAGGAAGGTGGAATGGCACCGGTCAGCAACGGCAGCACGAATGCGTTCATTCGCCCACTTTTCCCAATAAAGGCTTGCCCCACATCTAGGCCTGATCTATTTCGGGCCCTCTGATCATTCTGCAGCACGCAGCTTAGCATGGTTCACACAATACATCATGCCCAAAGATTTTACCTGCAGATGTCTGTGAACGTGTAACGGGGTTTCTAGGCGACAGTATCTACATCCTGAAAACACCCCATTTGCTCTCCCTCTCCACCCCAGTGTTCTGCCCACCACACGCCATCTGCAGCCCCATCCCTAGCACCCTCCTCGTGTGCTCAGGTGGGATAATCCCATCGTCCCACAGCCTCGCCGATCCAAATGTAGCCTCACTCTCGTGCTCAATACGTGATCTGAGCTCCGGATCGGATTTGCCGACCGCGGCCATGACGGAGGACAGCTGTTCGGCGCCCATGATGGATGTCTTTGCATTGGGCCACGTGAAGAGGAGACGAGGGGAGTAGGCACGGCCGCTGTGTGACGTCAGTGTCATACTCAGTAGACGGGTGATCGATGATATGGTTGGGGATGGAAAGAAGGGTAGACTCACCACATGCCATAGTTACCAGCGCCAGCACTCGATCCAACGACGACCGTGAACTTGGGCACATCGACACAGCTGACCGCCGTGACCAGCTTGGCACCGTTCTTCGCAATTCCGCCCTTCTCTGCGTCCTGGCCGACCATGAAGCCAGAGATGTGCTGCAGGAAGATCAGGGGAATTTGTCGCTTTCCGCAGAGCTGGACAAAGTGGGCGCCCTTAAGTGAGCTTTCGCTGAAGAGAATGCCGTTGTTGGCGACGATGCCGACCGGGTGGCCGTATATTGTGGCGAAGCCTGTGACAAGCGTGGAGCCGTAGAGGGGCTTGAACTCGGAGAAGGACGAGCCGTCGACGATGCGCGCAATGACTTCGTGGATGGCAATTTGCTTGCGCAGGTTTGTGCCCACGATGCCGTTCAGCTCCTTGGGGTCGTACAGAGGCTCTTTGAAGGTCGGCTTGACGGAGACGGTTTGGTTGCGGTGCCAATTGAGGTTGCCAATGCTGCGACGCGCCAGAACGAGCGCGTGGGCATCATCGACGGCCAAGTAGTCTGTGACACCGGAGACCTCGCTGTGCAGCTTGCCGCCGCCCAGGTCCTCTGCCGAGACAACTTCGCCAGTTGCTGCCTTGACGAGCGGCGGGCCAGCGAGGAAGATGTGACCCTGGTTCTCCACGATGATGCTCTCATCGCTCATGCTGGGGATATATGCCCCTCCAGCAGTGCAGGGTCCCATTACGACACTGATCTGGGGGATGCCCATACCGGACATGCGCGCCTGGTTGTAGAAGATGCGACCAAAGTGGTTCACGTCGGGAAAGACGTCGGCCTGATGCGGCAAGTTCGCGCCGCCAGAGTCGACGAGGTAGATACAAGGCAGTCGGTTTTCCTGCGCAATGGCTTGGGCTCGGAGGTGCTTCTTGACAGTCAGCGGGTAGTATGTTCCTCCCTTGACGGTGCTGTCGTTCGCGACAACCATGCACTGGACGCCATTCACGGTTCCAATACCAGTCACGATGCCAGCTGCGGGCGTGTCTTCGCCGGGGTAGACTTCATGACCGGCCATCTGGCTGAGTTCCAGGAACGGTGTTCCCGGGTCGATCAGTGCCGTGATGCGGTCTCTGACGAGCATCTTGCCGCGCTGGAGATGCTTGTCTCTCGCCTTCTGCGGTCCTCCCTGTGCAATCTTGGAGTGCAAGTTGTTCAGCTTCTCGGTGACTTGCTCCATCTCATGCTTGTTCTCCTTGAAGTCTGCCGAAGTGGTGTCCACCAGGCTCGGGATGACAGACACGGCTTCCGCATGGTGCGAGTGCGTGAACGTTGCAGTGCTCCGTTGTGTTTGGCGCGAAGGATGAGCCTGAGCCTGTGAACGCAGCGACGTGCCCGCGGAAGAAATCAGACGCGACTGTGCTTGCGCGCGCAGGGCTACTGCGGGACGAATCGAGTGCTTGAGCAGCGTCAGAGCTTCCCGGGAGGGTACCTTGGAAGCCATGGCTGTGTGAGCGTCCTGCGCTTTGTCAGCTTACTGCTGGCTGGCGATTCTTAGCTACCCAACGCGCAGTACATACCGGAGCGGAGGTTCAGAGCTTAGCGGAGGTCCAGTGGGAGATACGGGCAACAACAAGTCAACAGTCAGGTATCAGAACCTCAATTAAGTGATTAGAAGCTCTCGAGGCTGTAGCGACTCGAGCCAAATTTCACGGACCGCGCAATTCGGTTATGCAGCGGCTCAAGAACGCACAAGAAAGTCACGTCGCGAAAGCTGGGGTTCGATAAGCCCGAAGGAAAGCGCGAGCCGCGGTTGCGGGGAAGGCGCGTTAGGCTGCATGCGGTAGGTACGAGCTCACTTTATTGACCACTTTTGGACTGCGGATTGGAGCGCGGGTCAGCTTGCTTGTGCTGTGTGTAGCGCTCTGAAATGATGTTGTCTTTTGAGAGCAGACGTTTGGTTTATATTCTGAGGTGTGTATTGCGCGTAGAAGACTAACGTTTCTCATCATCTGCCTTTCAAGGAGCCGTGGAAGCTTGCGGATAGGCGAGGGTTGCCTAGCTCTAGCATACGGAGTCGATGCGAATCGATCAACTTGCGATGACGATGAAAGCTCACGCTTGCTGTACCTGGCATCTTCCACGATATGCGGTTCAGTGCTGGTGTAGACCTCGGCCTCTTCTTATTCTTACAGAATGTACAAGACCTTCCCTCAATGCGAAGGTATATAATACAACGTCTACATCTTGCCTGAGATGCCAGAAAACGCCTGATGATGCATCTCTTTCGCGTCTCCCCCCTTTCCACTAGCGAGGCGCTCTTTCGCGGGAACCAGCTTCATACCCCTTCGCTGCCGTTTTCCAAGACATGTGTTGATGTGCAATGTTCCCACACCAGAAATATCACATCGAGCGCGCTTTCTTGCAATGCAGTGGCCGCCCTGTCTTCAGTCCGAGACGCATGTCTTCGAGAATCCTGCGCTCATGCCTCAACCTTCTGCTCCTGTGTGACCTCGGCCTCGGCGGGAGGCGTGACGGGCGTCTCCGGTATCAACGACTTCACTGCTGAGTCCGCCTTGACGACCTGCCCCTGGATCTTCGAGATGCGATACTGTGGCTCGAGAATGCCGACCTGCTCGCTGATCAGCTCTGCGCCCATGCAATCGCAACCAATTGGCTCTTTTAGAACAGCGCGAACACTCCCAATAGCAACTGTCCTTCCCCTCCAAGATGCGTCCCTCTTTCGCACCGCCATCCCTCAAATTCCGTCAGAAATCAACATACCATGCTCAACAGCCTCCACGCCGTATCACTCGGCTGCGCACCAACACCAACCCAGTACCGCGCCCTGCTCACATCCAGTTTGATATCCTTCCACGGCCTTCCATGCGTGTCGCCCGGCCGCGGTGGCTGCGGGATGGGGTTGTATGTGCCGAGAACTTCGAGGGGCCGCGAGTTGCGCGCTGTGCGGGCGTGCGTAAGCACAATGTTGTAGAAGGGCGCGTGCTTCTTGCCGAAGCGACTGAGGCGGATGCGGAGGACCATTGCGCGATGTGCGGTGCGTAGGGCGATGCAATGGATGTGATGGTGAGGGCGAGATACTTTTTGGGCCGGGGTTGAGCCGGCACGTGATGCTGGGTGTTTGCGACGACGTCGTTTGCGGTTTCGGACATGAACAACAGTCTAGAACATTGAATTTGGTAGACTTTACTGTTGCTTAGAATACAGCGATGCTCTTCGCATCGTACGCAGTTCTTGCCATGATGAACGTTGTCGCCTCATTTGAGGGATGTGATGTAATCGACCTCTTCGCGCCGTGACTTGACATCTATAACTTTCGCATACTCCCAACATATACCAACAAACCCACACCAAAAATGGCACTCAGAGTAAGCCTTCCCTTCATATCCGTCACCCACCTAACCTCCCAGACACTCTCGGCCAAAAGCGCCGCCGCGCTCGACCAAGAGCTCATGTCCACGGGCGCCTTCTCAATCGACCAACTCATGGAATTGGCCGGTCTCAGCGTCTCACAAGCGCTCTTCAAGTTGCATCCGCTGTCTGCTGGCAAGCGAATTCTTGTAGCCTGTGGCCCCGGCAATAACGGCGGCGATGGCCTCGTCGCCGCGCGGCACTTGTTCCACTACGGATATCAGCCCACTATCTACTACCCGAAGCAGAGCAAGAACGAGCTGTACCAGGTGCGTCTGATTATGTTGATTTGATCGGCTATGGTGGGAGTGTTTGTTGCATATTGACGGGACCAGCGTCTGAAGAAGCAACTCGAAGACCTCAGCATCCCCTTCACATCAGACTTTCCAAGCGCCCTGGGCAACACGGACCACATCATCGACGCGATTTTTGGCTTCTCGTTCAAGGGCGAGGTGCGCGAGCCCTTCCCCTCCGTCATCTCTGCCCTAGCAGCCACCAAGACCCCTGTGCTGGCTGTCGATGCGCCATCGTCGTGGGATATCGAGGATGGGCCGCGAGATGACGGACCAGGGAAGGGGTTCATGCCACCTGCGCTGATCAGTCTGACGGCACCTAAGCCGCTGGTTAAGTGGTTTAGAGGTAGGCACTTTTTAGGTGGGCGGTTTTTGGGGCCCGAGGTCGCGGAGAGGTATGGGCTTGATGTTCCGGAGTATGAGGGGTTGGATCAGGTGGTTGAGGTCCCGATTGAGAGTGGGAAACTGTGAGCGTGAGGAGTGCTGTGATTGATGGAATCTATGGGGAGTTTTGGAGCGCGATGTATGTACTTCGCTGCGAGCTCAGTGTAGTCCGTCGGGAAGAGCAATGGCCTTTGCCCACATCTGAAGATATAAGGGGACGAACCAAACTGGAGATATTTGATGATCTGCTACTCGCTAGGCAGATTATCTGGATCTGTGCTAGATCAAAACCCGATGCAAAGGCTCTTGTCCTGAAACAGCCTCATACATTACGATATACGAACGGGTAGCATTGAGAACATCTGCGCGTGTCTATCATACGAATTGATAGTCGCCAGAGCTGTAGGTCTTGGATGGGATTTCAAAGTATCTTGACCGCGAGCACTCATTGAAACGTCTTCTGCAGAATACAGGGTTTACGGTAAACTGCGGACTGTATGGATGAGTAATTTATTTGTTGATGTGTTTGGATCTGACAGGCTTGATATTTCAGAATCACGAGAATTAAGCTGGCTCCCGCGCGGAGGATTGCCTGGGGTGGGAGGCATCAGATCAGAGCTTGTAGGCAACGGGCCAGGCGCATACTTTAGTATACGCTTCACACTTACGGCTGTGATAGAGCTGCTGCACAAGTTCGGGGATGCACCTCATGTGCGAAAGAGCATCTGGAAGAGTGAAATTTCCGCAGTTGGGTGTGAAACGGCTCAAGACTGGGGCTTTACTACCCCGGAGGAGACAATGAAGCATGAAGAATAGCCCTATGTAGCTTAACACTTGAGCAATACATGCTACAGGGGTACGAGAGTGGAATTGAAAGCTACTCGCTCGTTGTAACGCCGCCTTCCCCGCCAGTCACCCGGTCGAGCTCACAACACAAACCCTCCTCAACCCCTCCAACTCCCTATCAACGAGTCCACAGTACTCCCTCATATATCTCTCACTCCCGCCGAACTCCCGATCCACCATCTCCAGCGTCGCAAGCATACTCTCCTTCCGCGCCCCCGCCATGCGCAGCGCCGCCTGCCTCCCCTCCTCCATGACCTCAGGTCCAAACACCACCGGCTCTGCGTCAGCAACATTCCGATTCTCGACTGACTTGGCAAATTGCTCTTGGCTGAGCATCTCGCCCTGAGAGAGGCTGAGCATATACCTCTGGAACCCCGGGCTTTGGAGGAGACGGGCAACGACCACCTCGCGAATGACTGCCAGACCGGGCTCGGTCAGGTTATACTCAGCAGCGATCTGCTCGCGGCTGACGCCGAGGAAGTCGAACAGGATGCCGAAGAAGACGCCTGTGCGGTCTTTACCAGCCGTGCAGTGGATGAGCGCGCCCCTCCTCTTTCCGTCATCTACTTCGACCGGGTCAAGGCCCGCGAGATATAAAAACATGGTCCTATACGCACTCGCCCCACTCTTCAAGATGTCGCGATACGCAGCCACAAACCCCTCGGTGCTTTTATGCATATACTTCTGATACCGCTCCGCCAGCGCCGCGGGCCCATAATCCTGCTCGCGAAACACCGGCACCCACGTCCTCTGCACGCCCGAATCCTCCATACCGACCATCCACCTGAGCCGCACATCCTTCGGGGCCCCGGGGGCGCTCGCCACGATGCCCGACCAGCCCTTCTCGACCTCCGGCTTCGAGCGCAGGTCGAACACGTGCGCGACGCCTAGGGCACGCACGGCGTCCCACCCGGCGCGATCAAGTTTGCTGACTTCGGCGGAGCGGAAGAGGATCCTTTCGCGGATGGGCCCGTGGGGGGTTTGGAGCGTAATGGATGCGTCGCGGAAGTTGGCGATGTTGGGGATGGTGAAGAAGGGTGGGGAGGGGAGGGGTGTTTGGGCCATCCTTGAGTGTTGGTCGGATTCAGCGCTCAGGAAGTATTGGGCGGGAAATTTGATCGTATAGACCAATGTCTGGTGGGTTGAGGGGGGGTGAAGTGTGAATTTGGAGCTTTTGTAGTGGTGCGGGACCTGCGAGGGATGCGAGGCTCTTTATGGGATATTTTGGAGTGAGATGGAGGGATCCAGGATGCTATATTCGTAGCAGTTCCTATTTCACGCCCGGAAGTAGAAGTTCGTAGCTGTGAAAGTGTAACGTTAAGTTTACAAAGTCGCGTCGAACGTGTCGACACGTCGGTTGACGTTGCCCCGCGATACTCTGGGGCCGAGGTTGACCGAATTGGGTAACCCTTCTAGACAGTGAGTAGTATAAAATGGGTAATGTGAGACAGTCCAAAGTCAATAACTACAAGAAGTTATTATTCGGGGGAACTTCGTAGAAACACGTTGAGCTTGGTAGCAGGATTGTCAGGGCACGTGATTATTTCGACTGAACTATTAGTAGCCCCAATTTGAGAGACCCAGTGCCACGGCATCAAGTTTCCGCGATGATATTAGGCTGACTAGACGCTGCAGCAAGTCAACATGTTCACAAAACAGTAACATTTTGTTCCTAAAAGGGATCCTAAAAGGACGCACGTCAGCAGGTTTGCAGGATCGACGACGCTTGACCAGGGAAAGCAAGATCTGCTGCAAGATGTGTAACAGAGCAGCACGCTTGGCGAAGACGCATGATTTCGATACTTGTAATACTTTCTATAATGCTGAACGTTGCTTTTGTATTAGAAAGATGGGTTGTGACCAGACATCCACCCACGCTGTAGCACCTTTTTACTTCGTTTCAAATGAATAGCACCGACACTTTTCCGGTCCAAAGGGCCTTTGTTCGGAAGATGAAGGGTATCACAAATGGCGAGGACCGAAAGCTGCATTATTGCACCTAGGTGTCCGGAATAGGCCTTAACACCAAAGCGCACCACTTTTGCTTGAGGCCACGCTGCTCGGCTGGCGGTCCGGCCGCAGAACCTTTGACGGCGGTATGTGACTCCGACTTCTCCGTTGGTTTGGTGTTGGTATTCTCTCTCGTATCATCGTGGCTTTTCGACTTGTAACCGGCTTCGACATCGACGACAGTCTCTGACGACCCGGATCGAGGGATCCTCTTCGAAGGGTTCTCGGCAACATATTCGTCGTAGGTCTTACCTGCTTTCTTGGCTTCCTTGCGGATGTGTCGAACGCGCCACAGCCAGATCACTTGAGATGCGACAATGCCGGTCTCTAACAGCATGCTGAGAAACATTAGATGGGGCTAATTTCTCGAGGCTGGGGAGCATACCATGCGATGTACAGGCTGCCACCAAGAGAGTCGAACCATTGCTGTGCGACTAAATTTTGTCAACAGGGGTTGATAATTATTGGACCAGTGTACTTACCAAGCGCCATCAGAGAGAACAACGCTCCAGCGTAGTCGATGAGCAAGAACCAGAAGTCTATCCTCGTCAGCGATATCCCCGTGACATGGACACTTTCTGTGTACCAATTCCAATGACGCGGCCGTTGCGCTTTGCAAGCTCGAAGTACGGCGGTATCAGCCCGGCGATTTGAATGAGGGTCGCTGAGATCGCCATGAGCATCATTGGCCACTTAACACCGCGATCATAAGGTCCCTGCAAAATTTGAGTTAGTCCTGCAGTTGATAAGCACTCATGCCCGATACGTACTTGGAGAGCGAAGATGAGGATCACCTCCATAACACCGAAGCTTGTAGCGAGCAGGATGGTAGCGACGGTCGCAGTCCACGCCTTCCACTTGCTGCAAAGGTCAGCGTTGGTCGTCAAGATCTTTTTGTGCGCTCACTTGTGATAGTAGAGTGTCTGCCCCCAAGAGATGAGTGTGAGTGCCGCGAAGGCCTGAGGTTGGAATTGAAGGGCAAAGCTAAAGTTCTGCTGAAGTCAGTCGTGGCTTAGTTGGAAGTGGAAAAATCGTACCTGGACAATTGCGTAGACACCAAATGGCACGCCACCTTACAAAATTAGCTCGCTGCAGAGTGGGAGAGATTGCTGACTTGCATATTGACCACAGGATCAGCATCGATCCAGGCAGGCCTTCCGTGCTCTTCCGTCTGTAGTTGTGCCATATCCTAGTGTTGTGAGAATGTGAAAGAGGGTACTGCGCGGACAACGTACTGTGGAATGATCTGTAAAGGTTAGCACAGACGTCTTGTACATGCGAGTGAGGACGGCTTACCTGAACACACCAACAGCTGAAGAAGTCGCAGTGTTAGTCACTGGTCTTGACAGAGAAGGAAGGTGATGCATACACTGTACTGTGGTCAGCGTGGGTATAGACAGGATGAGAATCTTAATGACGTACCGGTACCAATCGTCTATAAAGTTGCAAGCGCACGTCAGTGTTATTTCTGTAGTCGATTGTCAAGAGCTCCCTTACACCTAGCACATCCGCAGCCTACCGACACATTAGCATTCCCAAATTGTTCCTTGGACTAGGAAGCACATACGGGCGGAATTGATACTTGTGGTTTATCCATTCATGGGGTGAAATTGTCAAGTCCAGCACGAAGAGACGCAGCCACGGGCCAGTCGTTGAGGCAGTGAGGCAATGGAATTGGATTGATGGAAAGAGACATGCAAATGATAGACCGAGGTGAAGCGAGAGAAAGGTAGCAATCGTCAGACTGAGAGCAGGCGAGCTGTGTAGATACAGTTCCCTGTCGCTGCGAGATGTACAATCGAGCAAAAGCAAAGATGATGAAGGTTCCCACAACACGGGCAGGCAGCAGCAGGCGCGAACCAGCCTGGCCCCGCAAATAAGCGACTAGAGAACACAAACATCACTGGCAACGGACTTGCGACGCCGAGCTTACTACGAAAAGGCAAATGCTTCTTGATGACGAGCTATTAGAGGACCTTTTACTAGCTCTGCCGCCGCAGTCGCGTGCAGGAACAGTGGAGGCGGTTCAAACCAGGAACCCAGGTGAGCGTTTAGATGCACGCTAGAGTAGTTCAGCGACGGGGAATGCGTGCCCTGCATCCGCGCTGGAGTCAAGGTGATCGAAGGAAGTGTTGAACTTCGGTAAGTGGTAAGTGGCTTGAGGTAGCGTGCAGGGGTCTGGTCGACTCCCCAGACGATCCGCGCTCCGATTGGCGAGTCCACGCCGCCGCGCACTTCCTCATCCGGCCTGACAGAACTAAGGAAACCTATTGTGATCTTATGGGGCTGCTGATGGTGGTAATAATGATCAAGGCCAAGTTTCTGCTGTGAGAAGTTGTGGGGAGACATGCCCTGCATTGGTCGAAGCCCTCGCGGCTACTGGCCGTAGGCGTCCGTCGACTGTAGAAGTAACGCGCATATAGATGCGGCAAGGTCTGCTTGCAGTCAATGAACACCCCTGCGCGTGGCTTGAGGACGCCGTGCATCAAGTGTTCTGAAACCAGTGCTGCGAGGGCCGTGTGGCAACGAACAAAGGCCGCTCGGAAATAGCTGAGCCCAAGTATACATGACCACCATGCATAAAAGGAAGCTGAGACAGACATCACCTGGCAGTCCTAAACCACTGCGATGGAATCTGAATCAACGGCCGGCTTGCAACGGTATTCTGCATTTTGGCTGGGTTCGGATTCTCCCCAATATCAGATGATGTTTATACACATGTGGCTAGCAGTAGGCCCTGCGATCTTCCCCATATGAGCGTGCCGTCCTAGTCTCGCGGTTTCTGGATCTTTTGAACTTGTAGTATTTTGCAGCAGCCCTCGAATCATGACACCGCATCGAGACCACTGCCAAATTCGGCCGTACAGTCGTTGTGATGATGCAGACGACGCACAGGTGATGTGGAGTACAGTGGGCAACAAATTTTAGGCTTTGCGATGTTTAGGGATGTGTTCTTGAGTTGAGATAAAGTTCCTCTCTTGCGGCTGCCGGAGTGGTGGTCGTGCTGAGAGACTAGCTCTAGCTTGGCGCTACCAGTCTCCAAGTCTTACGGCCCGATCTTTGAATTGTTTTGTAGCCGCGCAAAGCGCGAAAATATATGATTTTCGAAGTCCCGAAGATGTGGAAGAAAGTGATGGGGCTTCGTGCCGTTGGAAGAGGTGGGACCTGAAAAACGCATGACGCATGTAGGATTCCGATCCACGAACCAACGTTCACGATTTGTGGCGCTCTCGAGGTATCGCCGCCTTCGCCCAGATTGGCATTCTGCGCTGATGTCCGTTGCCTTACGAGTGTGCGGAATTGGCTCGAGTCTCTGCTCTCCCTCAGGTCGCCGCCACTGCCGCTGCTGAACGCACGTCTCGGTCTTTGTCCAGGTGCGCTTTTAAGGTGACACGACGATACTCATTCGGAGTCATTCCAGACCAAGCACCCGATCTGTGGGACCTTTGCGGGTTGAAGCATAACGTGCTGTCAAGTAACGTCGGCACCTGCGGGGCGACATTAAGACTCCTCAGTGGGCGATGGCAAGACTTGACAGCCTGGATTTTCGTGCACCGAGATTAGGCGATGCGGTGCGATCAGTTAGTGCGACTCTCGAGAATGCCCCTCGCCCTCGACACGTTCACTGAATACCGGGCCACATGTCCATCGCAGACAGTGTGTACTCGCGGCAAGCGAAGGCCATTCGGATCTCTGGTCAGTATCAAGCCGCGAGAAAACGGCCCGGTGGAGGACAATTTAAGTGCGAATCATGTCCCGGCAAGCCGACTTCGATCTATGACGAATGTGGCCCGAAAGTCGATATATTCATTGTTTGAACTATGCATCCAAGAACTGAAAGGGTAGTCGATCATCCGTTGTCTGCGGTTCGAAGCGGGAAATTGTGCTGACTGCAGCTCATCCTTCGAGCATTCCTGGTCGGCGGCAGCGGCGGTGACAGCTTAAACTCGAAAGTCGATTGGGAGGAGCTGGACGGCCGTGCAAACGATGACAGTTTGGTGAGGTATATTATGATGGCATTGAGAATGGCAGTGTGATACGTGTCAGAATGCCGGATCTCAACGTCGTGAGCATGGTGGATGAGCTGAGGAGATAAGGGCATGTCGTGGGGCCTTCGAACAAGCTGGTGCTTGGCGATACTCACCGAACTGGCAGAAGGCCGGCATGCCGGTGACATCGACGGCGTCTGCTGCTATTCCATACGCTATTCATCTCGATCTTCTAAGAGATCCCAGGATGAGTAATTATAAAGGTGGATTACTATCTCCTACATGAAAACCAAAAGGCGGGGGAATAAGTATCGAAGTTTTGAAGAAACAAAGAGAAGTAGCGTCATGTCAAGACGGCATGCAACACCGCCTGGGGTAAAAAAGACAGACTCCCGGCGTCCCTGACCTCTCCTGAGCATCTGCAGTGCACACGCCCATCATTACAAACGCCTAGAACTGCAAATAGATAGGTTTAGGTCCGCCCAATGTTGTGTCGAATGGAAATGCGCTTCTCACAGCTGCCCAACTCCGAAGGCGAAGCCTGAACGAGGAAGACAGCCTGCATATTACAAGCATATGTTGGGCGAGGCGGCTTACGCCTCCTCCTCCCGTTCGTTGTCTTGCAGGTGCCCGCTCTGCTCCCTGTGCATGCGCGCTTCGATCTCCTTGAGCTGGCTCTCGCGAGCCAGCAGCTCCTGTCGCTTCTCGTTGATCTCGCGCTGGACCTTGACTTCGATCTCGCGGAGCTTCTCCTCCTCGCGGCGCAGTTGCTCCTCCTTGAGGCGAACGGATTGGCTGGCAAGGTCCTCCGGGTTCATTGACGAGCCGCTGGAAAACGTCAGAAGGTATTCATCAAGAAAGCATGCAATACATACGCTTCAGCGCCACCCTCGACGCTCTTGCTGAGCTTCTCGGTACGGTAGTTCTCGTACAGGAAGTCGTGTGTGATTTCCTTCAAATCAGCCAAATGGCTGTGGAGGAGTGCGCTGCGGACGGCCAAGAAGTCAGAGTGGCGGGGGTTGTCGACCTCGACGATACCCCATGGGTACTGGCGGGCTCGTACGCGGCGGCCGTTGATCTCGACAACATCCTCTGATCCTACTATGGCAAAGGGCATGAGTCCACGGAGCTCGGCGTTCTCTTCAACTGTGTCCTCGTCGTCCTCCTCGATGTCGTAGGGGAAGTTGTAGACAGGGATACGGTAGTGCTCGATGTCCTCCATGACAAGCTTCTTCGATTCGGCCAGCTCAGCGGGTGTGAGCGAGTCGGCCTTGCCAATGACCGGAATGACATTGACGCGGGGAGAGAGGCGCTTCATAAGCTCGATGTCGAGTTCGCGGAGACTGTGCATATCAGAATTGCCCAATCATAGAAAAGCTCGCAACATACCCGTGGCCGGTGGGTGTGATGAAGTACAACAGAACGTGTACACGGTTGTCGCGGAATCGGGGGTTACGCTTAATACGCGATTCCTCTGCAAGAATGTCATCGTACTGGCGCTCGAGGTAGCCGACGATTTCTCCGAAGCTGCGTGCGTGTGAGCGATGTAGCTGACACTGTAGATGGACCTGTGCCTACCTGGCCTCGTTGTCGATCTGGTCGCCGAAACCGGGGGTGTCGACGATAGTCAGCGAGATGCGGGTGCCCTCCTCATCGAGTTCTGACGCCAATGTCAGCAAAGTTTTGTTCACAATTATCATGTCAAGAACACGCACCGACTGTGACGGGCTGGATCTTGACGCCTTCCTCGACGTGGGCGGTGCTGGGGTCGTCCGACTCCTTGTGCTCGAGGACCTCCTTGCCGCAGAGGGTATTGACGAATGTTGTGCGGCCTGCATGTATCGATTAGCACGTGCAGTGGCTGGCTGTCGCAGTCGTGGCGGCGTACCGGTACCTGAGGCGCCGCACACCATCAGGCAGAACTGGATACCCTTCTTGACATTCTTCTTCCTCCTGGTCTTGAGCATCTGTCGCAGTGTTAGTGGAGGCGTCCGCAGTCCAGTGTTGCTGCGGCGCGCGCTGCTGGGATACAGTGGGCCGCAGGAGGAGGAGTGGTCTCCGGGGGATTCGTACTGAAGACATCTCTGGCTCTGAGCGATGCGTGTGATATATAGTTGCGGGATGGAGACCTGGAGCAAGGCAGCTGCAGGCGAGAACGTGAGACGGAACGGGTGAGAGACGGGCGCGTGGCTCTCAATTGTGTTGCGGAGGTGTCGTCGAGTTATTTTGGAGACGTTGGCAGCAGCTCCCTGCGCAATGCAAAGGGGCTCGCTAGCGTCCGTGACCCCGGTCGTCGTCTCCTGGCTTGGCGGCGCGTCGGCCAGTTTGGGAAGGATGCACCAGCAACTCAAGTCCCGTTCACTCGAGCAACTCTTTAAACCAGTTCGCTAATACCTTATTGAGCGGCGTCCCTACAATGTTATTAGCAACACGCTCCTACTGCCTGCAATCAACCTTGTCGCAGTAGTAAGTGCTCGCAATACCAAAAAGTACAACGAGTCACGCAACGAGGAACCACTATAATATTCAACATGAATGCTTTCGACACCAAACTGGTGGACGATAATTAATACACTTTGGTATGTTCTGTTCGCGCCCAATTGCAGGTATGGAGGCTACAGTGGTATCGTCGAACATCCTCTTATAACACATAAAATCGCAGTACTCTGCCTGGTCGGACCTCCGCATTCTTAGTTATGACTGCAGCTTTGTCATCTCGCTCCAAACATCTCAAAACAAGGTACCATTGCCTGGAGCAGTCATTAAACCAAAGACCAGTCCCTCGGTCATCCAGTTCATATCTCACGTTACTCCAAGACGATGTTGATAAATGTTTCACGTGCACTATCAGCCTCCCCTAAGGAGCCCCGCAGATCACGGAGCTTGACGGCTGACGTCGGTGCTTGAACCCTGAACAAGCACTCCACCCTCACCTCTCACAACGCGCTTCACCAAAACCTCTCAGTCGATGCTGAGGCTCATCTAGCATGCCGCGACACCTCACGCCAGCTTCCACTGCCGGTCCTTCTGCCAGGCCATCGCATCATCCGTCGTTGCCTTGACCTCCACCACTCTACCCCCCAAAACACCAAACACCAAATACACGATCAAGACGGCAACATGAATACTCGCCCGGTGCTGGACTCAGACAAGGGTCCCTTCGCTCTGTCTGCTTCCTTCAACGCAGACAACTCCTGTTTCTCCGTCGCGCTGGAATCCGGCTTCCGCGTCTTCTCCTCCAAGTCCGGCGACCAGAAGATCGCACGAGAAATCGGGGGCGGACTGGGCCAGGCAGAGATGCTCGGCACGACGCGCTACATCGCGCTGGTGGGCGGCGGCAAGGCTCCCAAGTTTCCGCAGAACAAAGTACGCCTCCCCCGTTCGCATCCACTCGCCCTCCTCTCTGACGCATGTGAAGGTGCAAATCTTCAACGACTCCACCCAGTCAGTCTCCACGAGCCTCGAGCTCTCCGCCCCGATACAGCGCATCCGCCTGAGCCAGACACATATCATAATCGCACTGCTGCACAGCGTGCGAATATACCGCATGGCGCTCCCACCCTCTCTCATCGCGTCGTACGAGACGATCGCAAACCCCCACGGCCTCTGCACCCTCGGCTCGTCCATCATCGCCTTCCCCGGGCGCGCAGTCGGACAAGTCAAAGTATACGACTTGGCAACAGGGAACGTGTCCATCATTCCCGCGTCGACGAGTGCGTTGCGCGCATTAGCGCTGTCGAAGGACTGCACACAAATCGCCACGGCCAGCGAAGCGGGCACGCTGGTGCGCCTGTGGAGTTTCCCAAGCTGCACCAAGACGGCCGAACTACGACGGGGCGTCGATCCAGCGGTGATCCTCGGGCTGGCGTTTAGCCCCAGCGGGACTGCACTGGCAGTGACGAGCGACAAGGGGACATTGCATATCTTCGACCTGCCCTCCGGAGGCGGTCACGCTGGAGGTGGTCATACCGGAGGGGCCCCACAAGCTTCAGCAGGAGGAGGCAGCGGCGAGACCGGAACGACCAGCTCCGACCACAAGTGGCGCATGCTCTCCAAGCTGCCGCTGCTCCCGCGGCAGTTCAGCGACACATACAGCAACTGCAGCACGCCCTTCAGTCTGGGCGACGACTACACGTCCGCGACCGCCGGGAGCTCGAGCGCAGGGAGAGCCGAGAGCACAGGGAATATTGGAATCCAAGGCGTGCCCGGCGGCCGCCCGACCAAAGGTCTGCTGGGCTGGCTCGACGAATCGACCGTGCTGTGCGTCGGGGCGGGGCAGGATGCGCGGTGGGAGAGGTTCGTGGTCGGGTACGATGAGGGCGGGAGGCGAGCTGTGTGGCGCGAGGGATGGCGGCGGTATCTGGACTAGTCTTTGTCACTGGGCTGTGAGGAGGAGTGTCAGGAGTGTGAGAGGTGGGGTGCACTGGCGAGGCGCTCGCGGTATGGACTACACTACGCCAGGGTGGAGCGTGCGAGGCACAGACTGAATCCCATTCGATACACTTTTCGCAAGGACGTCAGCCAGCACGGGTCTTAGGTTGGAAGTAGCAGAGGGCGTGAGATGAAGTAAGATCTATGATTCTAGGGGTATGCACGTGTCGAGCCGCGCTGGTACAAATAGATAGAGAAGTATTCCTCCTCTTGCAACGACCCGAACGCCCGACAAACTTTTCGCATCATCGAAAGAACACCCAACCCAACCCAACCGAAGCGAAGCTGAACCCAGCCGAAACACTCGCAGAGAACCACTCATGGTGCCTACGACGGCTTATCGCACCCGATCCTGCCCAGCAACTCCTTGTGGTCGCCGTGGCCGGGTATGCTAATCCCGCTCGCCCTGCTTGATTCGCGCCTAGCCGAGCGCCGTTGGCTCGTCCCGTTCACCCTCTTGAAGGTCAACTTGTCAACGCCCACCTCCTCCTCGAGCGGATGACTCATCCCACTCTCGGTGCAAGTCGTGACCGCATTCAGATACGAGCTCGTCTTCTCCTTCTTCTCGGCCTCCTCCTCAATCTCCTCATCGCCCTCATCGTCAGACCTCAGGTCCTCCGCCGCATTGCCCTTGAGCACCTTATACACAACCTTTGCAATGGTGCCAAACCAGATTAAGCAGAAGACCTGCAGCGTGAGCAGGAGCGCCAGGAAGTAGTAACGCAAGTTCGGATTCCAGCAGATGGGGCCGTTTTGGTCGGTGTACGCTTTGAGTAGGTTCGCCCAGGGCGCGTTGCCGCCCAAACGGTCGAATTCAGTCGCATTGGACATGGGAACGAAGAGGTTGTTGTTTTGGGCCGAGTAGTAGCAGCCGGGCGCCATGTCGACGGGAGCAAAAGCGTAAATGGACCAGCAGACCATCATGTAGAAGACGTGGCGGGTGACGATCCACGAGAGGACGAAGGCGCCAAAGGCGATGTCGCAGGCAGTGGTGTAGCCCATGTACTTGAGGAGCTTGGCGGTCTGTTGTTGTCAGCCATGGTCAAATTTCAATTGCGACGTTGCGCTCACAGGAAGGATAATGTCGACAAAGTCCATAATGCACAGTATGACGGTTCCAACGCGCATGTGGTAGTATCCGTAGGACAGGAACATGAGCGCGGTCGTGAAGAGGTGGTGGGTGAGCATCTGCGCGTAGTCCTTGCGCTTCTCCTCAATGTTGACGACGAGGATCTGCTGGATCCAGAAGCCCCACTGCACGAGGTAGTACCACTTGAAAACGCCGTCGACCTCGCGGAAGGGCCAGCCTTCCCAGATGCCGTGGAGGTTCAGCCAGAAGTCGGAGTGGTACATGATGTACTGTTGGGTGTTAGCCACATTGTCATCTGCACTGTTTGCGCATTTCACGAACCATGCCCAGCGACCATGATACGGTGTAGTAAACAATCAGCCATGCCTGTTCCTTGAACCTGTCGAGGCCCTTCTTTGTGCGAATGCCACCTAGTCGCGCCAATGGGTCCAGCATGTAGTCCATGACGGCGACTCGCAGACCTGTGAAGGCCACGCTCCAGAATATCACGTACGGCAGGTCGTCGGTGCCGCAGCCGTACATGTTGGTGTCGGGGTTGTAGTAGGACATGTTGAAGAACTTGGCGGTGCGATCCCGCGCGCGGGGGAAGAAGATGTGCGTGAGGAAGAGGAGGGAGAGGAGGTTGACCGAGATACCTGTAGTCCAAATGTTAGCACAGGATAAAGCCAAGCGGAGGTTGTCGTATGGACGTACCAATCTGGTGGTCGCAGATCAGAGTGCACAGCGTAGCCATCAGCCCCTCATCTGCGACCTTCTTGGGCGCTGCTTTCCGGCGCCTCGAGGCAGCAGCTGTCTTCTGGTGGGAGAGCAAACCATTGGCGGTTTCGCTGCCATGCTGCAACGCTGTCTCGGTTGCCATGTTTGCCTACAGGTGCGAGGAGCAGGTATGCAGCAGCAACAGGCGTGCGGAACGAGTGCGCTTGAGATGCTCGAGGGGAAGGTCAAGCTCCTCGGGACGGCTAGCGGAGGGCGACGTCGGCGCTGTGCAGTGCAATTGGGGTCTCTTCTTGCGCCCGGCGTATGTGGTCCAAGGCGGCGTGCTACCTGCACTGGTGTGTGCTGAAGCGAGCGGCTGGGTTTCTCCGTGGTTCCTAGCAATGGGCAAGCATTGGGTCGCGGTGCGGTAGCAAGGGAGTTCACAGGCGCCGTGCAAGTGCAGTCGCTCGCAGCCGGTGGGGGCTCGAGGTGTTTCGGCCTTAGAGCGGTGTGGGTCGAGGGGCGTGATAGGCAAGCGCGGATCCCACTCTCCTGACAATGGCGATCGCACAACAATTGTGTATCCAGACACAGCAATGGTCAAGACACTAGGAGAGGTGCAGCTTCAAGACACTGTGAGGCCTCGGAAATTCTGAACAAGCGTCGCGCAAGCTAGCTATCTGCTGCAGAGTACTCGTGGAGAACGCTAAAATTCGGGGAACAAAAAAAATGGCCCTCGCTTGGGTCTAGCCTTAGGGGATCGTGGGATAGCTGGAGAACAGCAATCGCACGCTTCACAAGTGGGCTGCTGGGAAAAGGAGGTGGCGTGTGGTTTGATCTGCGCATGTCGCGGAGCTTGTCACCTTTTCGTCTGAGCCCTTGCGAGTTCCGCTGCAACAGGCCCGTCTGGTCTCTTTGTTCCCTTCTCTCAGCATGCCAAGGCGTCCGACACCGAGATCCTCTAGGGTCCGCCAGCCTCGTCTGTCAGCCAATCGAGCACCCATGCATATGTCAAAGCCGGACCCATTCTACCCCGCCGCGCACGGACAAAACATCCAGCCCGCGATACAAAGGTGCACAGGTGGGCTATAACGTTTCACTGTGAGATGAGCTTGGCGTGCATTGCTGGTTTATTCAAACAGGACTATTACGCTGTATCCACACATGCTACCTGCACACATGCTATCTACACCTCGAACGCCGTACAATTTGCTGCTAATAGAATAGATGGTGAAAAGACCGCGCTTAGTTGTTGTTCTGCGAGTTGAGGATTCTCAGAATCGCAAGGAACAGGTTGATGATGTCCAGGTACAGCGAGATGGCCGCGGCGATGTGCTCCTCGGGGTGGTAGTGGCGCATGATCAGCTGCGTGTCCACTAGAATGTATCCGGAGAAGATCAAAGCCGTGATGATGCCGTAGCCCAGCTCGACCTTGCTGTTGTACGGGAAGAACGCAGCCATGAACCCGAACAAGATGACGATCCAGACCGCACCAAACAGGTACGGAGCCCAGTGCGTGAAGTCGTACTTGCTCTGGCAGGCGATCACGCTCAGGGCTACAAAGATGCCCAGGGTAAAGACCAACGCAGTCAGCACGATGCTGGATTCATAGAACGAGACGATGACCGAGATGGAGTACGCCTCCATAGCTGTAAAGCCGGCGAGGAAGGCGAGGTTCATGGGGTGCGACTTGCGCTTCCAGAAGGTGAGGCCGAGGAAGACAAAGGTACCGGCAAGAGCCACCCACATCATCCACTGGTTCGACTGGACCCAGCCGCGGTATGCCTTGTTGGTCATGGAGAGTGCGCTGACGCCAGCCGTTGCGAGGAGCTGGACAGTCCTGGTGCTGTTAGTTTCGCGCCGCATGAAACACAATACGTAAAGCAGCTTACAAGATGGCGTACACCTTCCTGATGAAGGCCATGCGGATGTCAAGGGTTGCCTCCGCGACGACACCACCGAACTTGAAGTCGTCTGGCAGGTTGTCATCCTCGCTTCTGGGGACGCCGTGGAGGAGAGCTTGCTGAGGGTCTTCTGCCTGGTAGGTCGGCGGCGCCTGGGCCTGTGACGACTCCTCGAAGGAGTCGCGCTGGGGAACGTTCTGGTACTTGGGGCCGGCCATCGCGATATGAGTCCAGTGTTGCTGTGCGATGCGCAACTTTGTAAGGATGCGTAGGAGTGTGGTGAGGCGTTCGCGGTCTGCGATGCTGGCATGACTGTATGACGCGCTTGAGCTTATTTAGCGTTCCCGCAGCTTGATGCACGTGACTCGTGTTTCTTCTCGAGCTTTCTTTCTTTCTTTTCTTGCTTTCTGTGCAGCAATCATGGCCGACAACGACGAAGATCCAAGCTCGGGTTGTTGCTCATGGTCTAGCAGTAGTCCGCCGTGCCATCCCTCACCCAGTGTTCATTGCGAGGGAGGCTGAACCTGCAGATCGTGCCGCTCTTTCAGCTCTCTGCAGAGCGCAACAAGCCTTCGCGTACACTCACTTTTGATTTTATTACAGAGTTACTTTATGTAAGCATGCGTGTGCGGCTCTTTGATTAATGCAAGGGCCCAGGCTGTGGTTGACACGGTGCGTGAGCCGTGAGCTTACGTTCTAAGATTGACTCCCAGCCTTGCGCAATCGCAGAATGCTACAGGCTCGCTAGCGACAGCAAGGCCAATTGGATAGTAGGTGTCTGGGATGACACGCTGCCCTTGACGTTCTTTGGGCCAGAATCGATGTAATGGATTGGCATGGCATTTGCCTGCAACGGACCCAGCCCACTTAAATTTGGTCTTGCCTCGCAGAGCGCAGTGTTTGTTACGTTTACCTCTCGAAGATGGACTTCCAACTGAATGACCGTGATACACTCTTGCATTCTTATTCAGAGTCCGGGAGGATATCTTTTACGACCCAAGATGCGCTGCAGCCGCAGCTGAAGTGATCGAGCTAGAGGACATTTCTCTCGTAGCCAAGAACATGCCTGCGCTCATATTACCGACACGAGGCTCTTCCAATACCTAGCCTGGTCTCTGTAGCCCCCCTCCCCTCCCCCCTCGTGTTTCCAGGCAGCCTTCCAAGCCTCCGAGAACCTGTTGAACGCACACTTGGCTCTCAGCCTGAGAGGCCGATAAACCGGTGGCTGGAAGTCATTTGCACTTTGGCTTCTTGTAAGACACCTTTCGCTCACAATGCACCAGCTCAAACGGCGCCCATCAATACACCACACCAATACTGGAGCACAATCTTCCACCATAGATGAAGTGGAATTGCGCAGCTACCAAGCCGAACATTTGAATCCCTCCAACAATGGATATGACTCTGAGGGTCACTGCCTCAGCGCATGTACCGTGCAGTACAATTGTCGAAGGTTGAACGACCATGATCCTCTTCTCGAAGATAGCACCAGCATGACGACAACATCTTAAGCGTCTTGCGAGTGCGCATGATGATAGATCACCTTCTGACTTGACGCAGTCAAAACGGAAAAGAAGATACTGGCCAAACCTCCATGAGAGACCCAATTCCATTGTGGAAGCGCTACACAGTATCCACTGTACCTCTGCGGAGAGGGCATAGTTATCTTTCTGATCGTATGAGACGAAGCAGATTCCAAGGGTGGCGCATGGGCGTCCTGTTTGGATGCTTCACGTCGTTCACCGTGCTCTGCATTAACGTCGCACTTCTTGCACTCGGTGCTATCAATAACGGAGGCTACAAAGGCGGCGTAGCAGGCTTGATCTACGGCGATGGCCGCACAGTCTCAAGATGGAACACCGGCATGCATGTGTTTATCAACATCCTCGGAACTTGTCTTCTTCTAGAGGCAACCATACTATGCAAGTCACCAGCTCACCAACAAGGGAAGCGATTGACAGAATGCACTGTAAAGGATTCTGGGCCGCGGTTGGACTGCTCAGTCCGCGGAATTGGAAGAAGATTGCGAAAAAACGGGCACTGCTCGCGTTGGTACTGGGACTGTCGTCTGCACCCTTGCGTCTGTTGTAAGTAAAGCCACCTGATGATACTCAAGCGACAGAAATTGATCCTTTGACAGCTACAATGCCATAGTCTTCCATGTAGTCGTGCAACACCGTTTTACTGAGCGCGCCATCAGTCTTAATTCTGCTGAATACACCAGCATTGCAGCGAACGCATTCAACACCGATATTGCATCAGACGCGTCCTATGCCTCCCTCACAAACGATCAATGGAAGTCAGGTTTTGCTCACGATACTACGATGACGTACACCGAGCTCATCCTTGTATTTGACAAGTTCAAATATACCAAGACACCCTTCAACGCCTTGGAGCCGCGGCCAGAGAATTTCAACCTATACGGGGTCAACCCTGTGAGTGGCACGTGGTACCCAATGGCTGACTATATGTTTCCATCTAGCTGGTTTCACCAGAACCCTCAATATCTACGGTTTAGAGTTAAGTTGCACGCTGTGCACGCCTTTGCTCGCCATGCACAAGCGCGTAGTCGCATTCAATTAAGCCCGCCCTATTTGGTGGTAGTCATCGCGGCGAACATTTTGAAGCTTCTCATCGTGGTGATTGTGCTGGTCATGGACCATGAGCAATCAAAGTATATCGTTACCTTAGGCGATGCCGCCGCATCGTTTCTATCATGCCCAGACCCTTCCATGGACGGCAAGTGCTTGCTCGAAGATAAGAAGCTCTTTGCTGAGACCGATCGTTCCACCGGAGCATCAGACGTCAATGTCGAGAATGAAGTCAGCATGACTGACGGGTCTTCTCGGCCTGTGCCAAGTACAAGCGGATGGCATAAGCGGACACTGGGCTACTCCGCTTTTATCAGGGATGAGCAAGCTAGGTCTACCGCTGTCGCGTGAGTAAGCAGTCGTCGCCTCTGTATCATACTAACGATAGTGTAGTCTCTTAGCTATGATCGGCGTCATACTCAGCTTCGTCATAACTAATAACGGGGAGGGATGGGGTTGGGAAACAGCTTCAGACGGCGAGCTCAAATTCTCCAGCAACACTCACTCCGCCCACACCACCTTCCTCAACGCCTGGCTCGCCAACATGTCGCAAGTAGTTCTATCGCTTTGCTACATGAACCTAAACAGCTTCTATACCACCATGACCAGCGCAACAGAGTGGAATAATCTAGCCTTTACAAGGAAAGGCCTTCGTGTCAGCGAGCCCAGAGGCGAACAGCAAAGTACATACTTCCTCCAGCTTCCTTATCGCTGGGCAATGCCTTTGATCGTCCTCGGTACGGCGTTGCATTGGTTGTTGTCGCAGACATTCTTCCTGGTGCGCATCGACGTGTTCAATGAAGATGGCTACCTGACCACTGAGGGCTCCAGATCTGCCTGCGGTACTTCAGTCTCAAGCTTCATCGTCTTCTTCGTCGTGTTCTTTGGTCTTTGCATCGCCGTTCGAGTGCAGGCGAGCAGGAATCTTGTCACGGGTTTGCCGCAGGCGGCGTCGAATAGCCTTGTCATCAGCGCTGCGTGCCATCCACCCAGCGATGAGATTGATGCAAACAAAGCAGGACTAAGGAGCGACTTGAGAGATAAGGGTTTTTCAAACGTTTGGACCTGGAATGCGTGCAGTATAAGGTTTTGTAGCCGCTGTCCAGGCTTTGGATTTGACACTGGCCGCCATGTGGTCGAAAATGGATCCACTTTGTCCGCGAACCGACTGACGTTTCACGGAGTGTCTGCCTACGAAGTCGAAGTATTCATTGGCATTCCGGCCGCTACCACTCGTTGCTGCCATGACCTGAAGCTTTGCGCCTGCATGCGCACGGGTGTATGCAGGTCAGAGGAACAAGCCGCTGGACAAGGCCTCACCCTGGGCCACCCAACAGGAGGGAACAGAGGTCGCGACCTCATTAACCACTACAGGTTCCCATCGCGAAGAGCCGCATTTTCCGCTGCGCAAGACAGCTGAGCGTCGTCCGTTGTCTTTGTCGTTGTGATGGGAGAGAGGAGAAGGCTGGGTACCTATGACGGGAAATTTGCGTTGCGCACACTAACAGATGGTGGAACCAATCGAAGCTGGCACTAGTGATTCAACCTTCCTCGTATGGCAGGTCTGATTAAAAGTGTCGATTTACCCGCTAATCGGGACTCTTACCCCTTCGCTTGGAGCATTACCCCGCTCGCCCTTTTCACCTCATCCTCCTTAAGCTCAACACACACTTCCCCCACTACTGTCGTGCCTCTTTCCTTTGTTTTTCTTTCTTCCACCTAGGAGGTTGCACCTTGGTGATGATTGCGCGTACCGCCACGCCAGGCAGCTGTCGAAAAGGGCACTCCCTCGCCCTCACCACTGCGCAATGAGCGCAACTTGACCGGTAGCATGATGATTTCGCACTTTCAACGGAAGTGCGATCCTACAAAAGCTTCATAGTATTAAATAATACACTAAATTGACGGTGTTGCTTTGACAAGTGCAACCAGAAGGCAATTCTCAGACGCAAGACGCGCCAGCAACACAACATGCCAGGGGTGTTGCTGGTACTCCTCACTCCTCATACTCGGGAGGATTGATAAAATACATAAGAGATAGGAGATGGGGTATAATGATTCTGGGGCATTGTGGTATCACGGTGTAAATCACGGTCCAACGAGCGACTCTTGGCAAAACCAGAACGTAAACTGATGTGCAAAAGAACCTTCACTGGTCAGTGAGAGATGAATCACAGAGCGGCTAGAGACGTACCAACGGAGCATCCACTGTGGGCCTCCTATCATCGAGGAGCACCTTCTAGTCCTTGACAACATAGGTATAGCAGCAGGCGCCTCTCCAGTGTTGGCACTCGTAGCATCCAACATTGTAGATGACGTTGTTGTCGGAGCCGCAGCCGCAGCATTGCCAGCGATAGGTCTCGCTGCCGTAGGTCACCTCGCCCTGACCATGCGCAAATTCGATGTGCGTATGCACCAAAGGAGCGAAACCTTGGGTTTGTCTGTTGTCGAAAGCGAAGTCGGGTTCAGTAGGGCAGCTACCACAGCTGTGGTGTTGCCCGCTGCAACTTGTGCATTGAGGTGTGTTGATTGTGCTCATTGCGCCGCTTTTGCACTGACAGCAGTAGCAGACAGATGTCATAAGAGGTCTAGTGTTCAAAGGCCGGAAGCAAGAGCTGAAGATGGTGTCCGGGTAAATATGTTACGATGGAGAAGCAGATACATATGCTTTGAGTTGCAGAATGCCGCTCGAGGAGACCCGTCTGTGAGAAGGACCCGGGAAAGGACCTGGAGTCCTCAACTATGCCTCACTCCACGCGTTACCACTTCGCCCTTCGTGCCCTCTTCCATGGACTCGCCCTCAGGAGATGTAAGACCCTTATACAACCTCATATTCGTCTGAGTTGTGTGCCTGGAGCAGCTGTGGCTGTCCTGTGTCGCCCCTTTACCAAGCAGTCGGAATGGAGGCCTGTCATGAGCTAGAGTTCGTGCAGTATGGTGCGATAGAAAATGCACGGTGATTGAACTGATGATAGCGAAGAATGAGAGTCACCAGTCGTGGATTGCGCCCAAAAGTTTAGCGGCAGGCATCGAGGCTCGCGCACGTCGTGTTTCAAAACCGTCAATTCGACACAAGCCTGGAAATCGCGAGCGGGGGGTGTTGTTTTTTTGGACTCTAGGTGCCGCTAGACTGGCCGGCAGACTCACCACGATGTGGCGGTGCTGCGAGCATCAAGAAGATCTAGAGAAACGATCGCGGGCAAGAGGGCAGGAAGACGATTACGAAAGTGGTTTCTAAAGGAAGCCCAGAATTCGCTGTAGCGCGTGAATGGGATGCGCAAGTGATCGCAGTGGAGACAGGGGCGAAAGGCAAGCTGTAGAGCCGGCATCATCAATCTGCGCGCAGCTTCTGCAAGAGCTCAGAGAACTAAGCGACTAGCGAGTCCCTTGTGGAGGCATCTATCATGAAAACAGCCTGACGGGTTGGTGGGGCGCTTTTGGTTTTGTCGAAAGTGAGCAGGCAAACGGTCCGCAAGTTTGCGAACCTCAAGGTAAACGACTACACTGCCACGTCTCTCCTCAAACACATCCTCTCCCGGTTTATTGGGCAAGATGAACCGATGTTCTTCTCAAGGAAGGAACTTCGTGTCGTCGGTAAGCGAGATGTATGAAAGCTACCCCCGGAAGCCCAGTATGCCAGGCCACACATGCACATCATCATGGCCGGCAGCAGTTGCCAATCATGTGAGCTTGAGGCCTTATGTCAACATCACTCCGAGGTTGAGCACACTTGAACGCTTGCTCGGTACGGCAGCAATAGCGCATTTGCTGCGCACAAAGATGATAGGTTCGACGACTCATCGGTCGGCGACGTTCAACATGCTTCTTCAATTTCCGAAAAGTGGATATTAGGGCAAGAAGGACTTCTCTTGACGCAAAGGGACTCCGATTGGTGAGGCATCTTTGAAGGGCAACGGGGCAGGGCACGCTGTGGCATCGGTCTCTTCACCGCTTGCACTTCGACACACGCCGGCCACGTCGATCGTTCGGTCAAATGACCTTCTTTCCAGGGAACCACTCGCGCTTTCAGTGTTTGTTGAAGATGTCAGGGATATGTCGAGATCCTCAGACATCCACACGCTATTCCTCTTTTGGACACACAGCCACCCTGTTGCCTCGAGTGGGAAGCTATCGCAGCCCTCCACCAGCGGCTTCAGGGTCTGTTTCGCCCCCAAGGAGAATTTCCAAATATGTTTTGGAATCCCTTCACACCCTCAAGATCAGATAAGACAAGGGAAAGTCGATCTGATTCGGGAATTACACGCCATCATACCTTCAAGATGGTTAATGTCCCTAAGACTTTCCGGCAGTCTCAGGTAGCTGCATGTCAGGCTCTGTGTTTATTTCAACGACATCACATCAGTAACAGTTTAGCAAAGAAACGTGTACATTGAGGACACCGAATTCTATGTAAGCGAACGGAGGTACATAATATGGGAAGTGCGCCGACCCGTGCTCGCTCGCTAAGATACAAAGAGAAGACAGTCGGCCGCCTCGAGAGTCCATCGATAGTAATGAGAGGGAGTAACGCCCGTCTATAGTAACGAAAGAAGCAATTGTTCAGCTAGCGCACCAGGAAAGACAGTTCAAGAGTGTGGGGATATCGGCGTGCTTGGAAAAGGAAGCCATCATCGTGAAGTGAGGTCTGAGTGTAACGAAGCGATAACGGTAGTCGTGAAAAAGGGGATTTGGGTCAAATTAGCCTGGACCGTTGGGCAGGCTGCTGCCATTGATTGACAGCACTCGTTCATGGGGCTTAGCTGGTTCAAAGCTGAGTTCCAGTTAAGGTCAATCTCTCAGGTCGACTCGATAGTACAAGCGCCACAAGCAGCGTGCCCACAATTTTGGCAAGAGACTTGCCATTCGCCGATTGGTCCATCGCCACACTCGCTACAGTACCACACCTTAGGGCCATCAACAGGTGCGCCATCATGATTTCCGTCTCCATAGACCGAAGCGTGACCGCCATGGCTGATTGTAATGTTATCTGCGGCGAAAGCAGCAGCCAGTGGCAGATCCATGATTGAATTGCGAGCTTCAGAACGCATGGAGGTAGTTGGTGAATTATGGGGCGATGAATAGCATCCCTGAGCTTGATAACCATGGTGCTGAGTGGAGAGTACGAGCTTCAAGTGCTGCATGGTGAAGTGTGCGACCATTGTTGATTAAGTAGTTGGTTATGATAAAGATTAGAAGAACCCTGAGATTAGCGTGTGGAATTTGGAGTGCTGAATGAGATGCTTTCGATGATGGTAGAAACAGAGGATACGTTGGTTTTGTGTCAATCTCTTACCTGGAGGACCTGCCTTCGTCCATATCCATCGCTACCTGGCCTGTGACCATATTGAATTAGGGCAACAGTGCTAGTTCCTGCCAGGGCTAACTCCGTAGGCAGTCGTGTTGAAGCAGAGGAGCTATTGGGTTCGACAGTCAAAGGACCTGTATCGTGGCACAGAACTCAGAGGGCTTGGTTGACGTCGTTCCGACGCGGGTACATGGGTAGCGATGTCGCCACTTCAGCAGATTATCGATGTACTAAGCTGAATGCATGCATTCACGGCTCACTGTATTCTTGTGACTGGATATAGGGCAGACCGCATCTGGACGGCGATGTCGGCAGGCGTATAATCTTGACGAAACCCGACTGGAACCTCGGGCGTGTTCAACAGGGATACAGAAGTAACGGTCGGTCTAAGTGCTGAGTTGCACTGCCCGTTGGGTGCTCTACTTCCGAGTGAGGCTTGCGGTCACGTGTCTATGCCCTCTTTTTGCCTTCCTACTGGGGACCCTAGCTCTGGCGGACTCGAGTGGGGCACTTCAGCCATAAGTAGGCTTTGCGCTGTATCCTATCACTGGAGCTCGTGCGCTCACCGACTTGCATGATCAAATCACTCGTCCCGTAAGGATTCTTGACTCAGCCCCGACCCCAGCTTGCATGCGCGCGCGGCTGATGCTGCAGGAACCCGGTCTACTCACTGCAACGCTATCAGTATCTTGGTACCTGTAATGCAGATATTACCACATATTTTTCTTCAGTCAAGAACCTCCAAGAGGGAGATCATCGATTGCAATTTTTCGCGAGGTATCAACATGACCGGTCGAGAAAGGCAGCGGAATTCAGTTATGCGAAACAATCAGGGTGAAGGCGATGACTGTGGATAGTTAGCTTCGGTGCCGATTTGCTTGACGTCATACCGGTCAGATACTGAGCGATAAATGTCTATGCTGAAAGGGGGTGCCGGTGATCTCGCGCAGCTTTGGCTGCTTCAGCCTCCATGGATCTGGAAGGGTGTGCTTCCTTATTATCTTGACTGAGTGCAAGAGTTAGCTCTAGCTCCAGTCCTGCCCTGGAACTTGATATGGTTCGTTAGTTTAAAATTCGCTCGGTGGCATTGTTACATCTTTCCGCTTTGCAATGAAGCAGTACATGGTTCGCGATTGTGGGCACGGCTCAAAAAGTGCTGAAAGCAGAATCATATTGTTAAAGTGAAGGAAATTGTATCTAGAAGACAAATGGAATCTATATCAAGACAAGCGAAACACCAATGTCCGTTCGCTAAGATGCAGGGACAAAGCCAACCAGCGGAATAAAGCAAAGAATCAAGCGAGAGACCAAGAACAGCATCAGCGAGCAGATCAAACCAAACCAAAAAGAGTGAAAGCCATGTAATCGGGCGGATATCGAGTATCGAGTTGCGGAACTGAGGCCGGGTTGAACGAAAAGCAGTATTGGCCAGCCTCAAGACTAGATCGTTGTTGATGGAGCCCAGAGGACTACGTGTGGGGTCTTCGGGATTCAGCTGTCAAAGCTGGACCGTCCCAGACGTGGGAGATGCGAGCGCTAAGGTACTTCCTCTACAGTGCAGTAGGCACAGTAGTGATGACCGCAGCTAGTGCAAGCTGTGTACCAAGTTCCCATCGGTCCATTATTGCAGCTGCTGCAGTACCAGACGGTGTTGCCATCGCTGGGAGCGGCACTTTGATGATGATCCATATGGCGATCAGCAACAACGGGAGAGCTGGAGCTGCCGACGACAGTATATGCGGAGGGGCCATCCGAAGCCCTTCTAGAGAACCACGCCGTGTCAAGCACAGATGCAGCAGGCATAGAGCAAACGGACATGGGGCTCTCATCGCGATGAAAATGCTGGAGACCAAGATAATGTCGATGTGTGGGTGCAACATCGACTTCGATCGAAGCTGACTTCGAGAAAGCGGCCATTTTTGCTTGCTGCATAAAATTGAGGTCTTGGATGTGTGGTGTTGTGGTAGTTATAGAATAGTGAGGATTTGTAGAAACGGTTCGAACTGTTTACCTGGAGGAAATGACGATGACCACAGAAAGATTTATAGAAGATTTGATGGACGACGGACTTATACTCATAGCCACTCTGAAAATGCCCATGCCCCACCCAGACCTTCGAGAAGGGGCGAAGGGCCAAATTGTGACGAAGTTACGAAAGGCAGCAACGGTGAGGTCCATTGAACGTTGGGACGAAGTGCGATGGGGCCTCACAAGGCGTCGAGGCCTTCGTTACGACGCAGACCCTGTTAGCCCCAGCGACTGGGGCATCGTAAACACAGCAGAAGGATCACTGTTGAGATGAAGCGTTTCATTGGCGGTCGGGGTGAATATAGAAACCATAGTCGAGACGGTCCTACTACCTGCGACCAGGCGCTGACTGAGCGGTCAAACTAGGCTTCAAGGCAGTTGTACTGTTAGCACAGCTTGATAAGCGTAGTAGTAGCCACGGTTGGCGGTGTTTGGTGAGGCTTGCCAGCCCTAGTTGCTTGGCCTCCAAAGAAGGGCTCTCATGTTGCCTTCTTGCCTTCTCGGACGCTTTCAGCGTATACACGGCCTACTGTAGGGCTGTTTCGAGTTGCCATGTGGTTTTCGAAGGGCGAAGCCGATGCAATTGGGCCGTTATTTTATTCTTAGCATTCTCGGTGTTATCCAGTCTTTCAGCCTTGTGCCTGGTTTCTCGAGTACTCGAATATGCTGCAGGAACTGTTGCCACGTGCATAGAAGCGCGAGAAACGATGCAGGTACCGGTCATGTCTCCGACCTAGACCTGCAATTGCAACGTAGGGCTGTGACATTGGGTCCGACAGATATTCTCATCTCGATGATCGCGGCAACCTGACATAGAAAGGAGTGCGGCTCAGTTTGCGTGGTCTGCTGGCGACCTGGGGCAGTGGGGCCAACTCACCGGACTCGAAACACCATTCTGTCGTCCGTGCACAGAAATTGTTCTGATATAGCTGCCGGAGTGGTATTTTGGTATGTAAGCTCAAGGCCTGGATCAGGCTTTCTATTTCGACCAGTAGACCAGAGTCGTGCACTCAGTGTGCGTTCACTTGTTGGCCATGGGGCAAGACTCGCAAAGTATACCGGCGGTGAGCGCAGTTCGATGTGACCAAGACTGCACGCGGAGCCGGTTATCTGTCTGCGTCATATGTTTTGTGGAACGCAGTACCAGCAGCGCGCAGCTACGCTTACCAAAGGTCAGCAATGTGCACGGTGAGACTGAATGACTAACACTTTTCTTCACGGAAGCAGCTCGCCCTTCCTGGATAATTGCATCTTAAGGTAGGCGCAAGACGTCCTCTTCCTCGTCGCTAATCTGTGTGATCTACGTGAAATGTAAGTTGTGGCGAAGAAGCATTCCTTCGCCTGCACTTCCATTTTGGGGCGAATAATCTTTATGAAGGACCTCGAGCAACCTTCATGGCTTCTTCTTGCAGAGCTTTTGCCCTTATCCGCTTCGTTTGTCTTGAAGAGGCTGCTGGAGTAACCTGTTATAGGCGTTAAAGGAGTAAGGAGTTGCACATCGTTCGCTGCATCGTCTATTACAGACACAGCCTTCTCGTACTAAGTGAGGAGGCTCAGCAAGCCACAAGGCTGGGAGACCGGTCAGACAAACGATCAGCTTCAGCTTCATTGCAAGGCACGCTGCTCGCTGTGAGTTCTTCAAAGCATCGAGGTGTACAAGACAAGAAGCAAGAATGAAGCCTATACGTCTTGGGTGTCACGAGGGTTGCATACAGTGGCAAGGAAATGCGTAGTGAGGTGCAAAATGTCATCAGGCTGAAGAAGTAGACTTGCAGCTAGACGCCAGGGCAGAAAGGCCCATGACTCGCGCTGATCCAGCCTCGGGCGCCCCAACTGGTGTGCGATGATTGCAACGATTTGATTTTACAAGTCGACACATCCAGGGGTTGCTTCTGCAATTTTTCATCTGATCCCAAAGCATGGTGCCGGTCTTTGTGCGGTATTGAAATGAGACGAGTGTAAATACGTCGACGTCATTGTCTATTTCGAGGCAGGACGCGGCAGGCGCAGGCTGAGGCGCATTGCCAAGCTAATCTCTCTTCATGCTTCATCACTCTGGCAGCAGAATCATGGCTCACCGCTGCCCACGACGACCTCATACCCCTCCGTGAGGCTCACCACTTTCGCCTCGATATGGCGCCTCCAGTAATCCCAGCAGCGGGCGCGACAACGGCAGATGTGCGCGATCAGTCGGTGCTCGAACAGCGCCTTGGGCAATCATCGAGCGTCGTCATGCCGTTACTCGAACTGGGCGCAATCGGATACGTGACCTGGGTTCTTGTATACCAAATATGTGTACAGTACTTACGCGAACCCTCCGCCGAGTTGCGCCAGGACCTCAACGTTCAGCCACGGCGAGCCACAGGCATCGCCCTCATAGTCGTCTACGCCGTCTTGCTCCTCCTATTACTCGTACCTTGGTCGCGCCTCATACAAGTTATATGGTCGAAGCCGGATCTAGTACCCCTAGGTGACACATCGGTGGAGAAAAAAGAGGTCACAACAAGCTGGCTGGGGCAGTACGATGCGTACATCTGCGATTACGAGGGCATGCCATTGTGGTGTGATAAGTGCCACAATTGGAAACCGGACAGGACGCATCACTGCAAAGAGCTGGGTCGCTGCGTGCGCAAGATGGATCACTACTGTCCGTGGGCAGGCGGAATCATTGCTGAGACCACTCACAAATTCTTCATGCAATTCGTTTTCTTTGGCGCATTGTATACTGCATACATTTGGATCGTTACTGCTGTTTTTTTGGGCGAACGTATTTCAATGGTAAGCAGCCAGACCCTCTCGCAATTGTGCCAGCTACGTAGCAGATGCTAATGTTGGCCAGACTGGCTCACACCCAGGTACCTGGATAGGCGTCCTTGTCGTTGGTATCCTGTTTTGCATCTTTACATTCACGATGAGCTGCATGACTGGCTGGAATCTGTGCATCAACTACACTTCCGTGGAGGGTATCCAGCGAGGCGGCATCCATAACATCGCCTTCCGGATCTCGAACACCTCGGAAAGGTTAAGCCTTCCGTCCACACCTTCTGCGCAAGACAAATCACAAAGCCATGACGACTGGCCAGTTCTGACGACCATTCAACGCGGTCCAAATCTGACCTACGTTGTTATGCAGACCAAGCCGCACGAACATCCTTGGTACACAAGCCTCATGATGGGATGGAAAGACGTTATGGGCAACAACATAATCGACTGGATAACGCCGATCAGACATAGTCCATACAAGCAAAGGAGCCACCGAGGGGAGTTCGAGTGGGGCGAGCTAGTTTACGATATGGCGAAGCAGTATGAAAGACAAAATTCGGCCGTCAAGCTGGCCATTCTGAACTAGCCGCGCCACATTCTGGAGCGTTTTTGGTGGCTCTATCGCATCTTCAGCATTGCTTTGGCGTTTGGAAGATACCCACGTATGTACATATGTGCATCGCAGCTAATAAAAACACGTCGATCCAATGTCTACTTCATACATCATTGCGCGTTTTGGCAGTGGACCGCGCTATTCAATATTGACTGTTCCCTGATACTCACCTTTCAAGCAGTCCATGACATCTTTCTAGCGTTCATCCTCGCATGGTCATTTCCAACATCGCTAGGAGTCATCCTGACATCTACCAATGCGGAATCCTCCGCACCCAGCCCCGCCGTCAAGAGCTCAACCGTTGACGTTACATGCAAAAGGACCCAATTGTCGAATGCCACAACGAAGTAATTTGGGAACGCTACGGCACCTGCCTTCATAGTTCCATGGGACTGTAGGCCGTTACGGGACAACGGCTGCGGGAACCGGTCTCGAAGCGTCAACATCACGCCATGTCCATCGACTCATGGCAGCTGTCGAGGTAGTGCGCATATCTGCGCGGAACACCGTCGCTGTAATGAGGAGACCCGGCCAATGAAGGGGTGCGAAATCTACGATCGACAGCACTGTACCTTCAGTCGGGTTGTAAGTTAGGTACTCCAAAATCGCAACGATCTGGCAAGTGATTCACTAGGTGACAGCATGTTATCCGGGATTGTTTACAAGCCATACCTTTCTGCGTGTCACGACGACGTTGACAAGCAGTCCTCGGATGAGCTATCGCAAATACGTGGACGATCAGCATTTCTGCTCCATACGCATTGAAGGAACACGGCACACATATCGTGCAGGCACCTTATTTGCTCGTGCGCAAAGAGATTTTGTTCACACAACCAACTGCAAAGTATGGAAGTCGACGCTCCAGGCACTAAAACTCATCATTTCGTCATCCTTCCTTTCTCACCCGGTCACTTACCCTCAACTGCAACCTCAGCTTCCAAATCTACCCCTACCTCACCTCCGTCGCAGATCCACTACGGCCAGTCAACACAGTCGCAAATCCGTTGTTGCAAGGCCTCCAGCCCGACATTTGAGTTGTCGTTGCGCATTACTCCCGTGACATTTACTGACACCCCAGGATTTCCAATGACACTTGCACAGCCTCACACTGCCGTCGCATCACCTTCTCTACTCGCCGGGATGTCTGCCAGGATGGACCGGTGAGCGGACGCCCGTTGACTCGTGGATGTGCAATGTTGGTCCACGGTACCTGGTTATGGTGAGCCTAGTGCAGCTCGGGCCGGTCCCCGCAGCCAGTCGAGCCAGAACCACACCTCACTCTTCATACTGGGATTCGTGGCTGTTCCCTCTGACAACCATGATCGACCGCGTCGGCCCTGCGATGCGCAAATTGAAGAACTGGGATGTACGATGCGATCGGATCACGGCCCACTCAACTAAGTGGGATCGAGTAATCAATTCGTGAATGTGAGAGATGGAAGGAGACAAGCCCCGGTGCCGATCATACATGGGTCTATTGCGACATCCACTTTTGACGTGTAACCTCTCAACGACCCTGACTTTTTCAGTGCCTCGCACTGATCGAAGTGACACGGCGCAGGACATGACGACGGCCATGATGGAGCCCCGTTCTCCACCACAGAAGTGGAGAACGCTCGAAGGCAGCAGTTCCGTCCGGTCCAGAGATCCCAAATCCTGCAACACAACCAACACACACCCCAACCGTCCCCGTTTCGTTTCCCGCAAGGCTGTCACTCCCCCTGCTCAAACCCTGTCCGCCTCAAAACACCCTCTACAAGCATGATACCCCCAGGCTCCCAGTCGGCCGTTAAGCATTAAGTTTCTCCTACATTGCACTTCCGACCCTGGACCCAGGCCCTGTATGAAACGCTCACACACTGCGGCCAAGCAAATCCGCTTCGGAGTTCGGCCCCTATTATTCGTATTTTTTGGATGAAAAACGTAAGGTTCGATGGTCTCGTGCACAATGTTTCTCCCGCAACGCGAGCAAACCTTGGGCTAGCTGGGGGCTAGCGAACTTACCGACGCACATCGTCTTTTGACAGTAGTGCATTGTAGGCTTCATGTAGTGGGAACTGTATCCATGGCTGGGTTGGCCGCTCAACTGCATTGCTATTTCGATAATGTGTTGATCTGGTGGCGGATGGAGCCATGGGAGGTGCGGTGCAAAGTGCATAGCGCCACATCGTTTGGATGTTTCACCAATGAAAGCCTCCTGATCGTGGCGGATTGGTCGATAGACTCTTGCTCATGCTTTTGGCTCATGATTCAGCATGAGTGTTTGGTTCACGTACTGGTATTCTGATTTTGCTCAGTCAGTGCTGCAGTGTTGGGATCAATGTTCACGTTGAACACACGAACTTATCTTGCTCAAGTGTGGTAGATTCGGGTTGATTGATACTAGGTACTGAAATCACAAAGCCAATCACCGCGTCGTGAAGTGTTCGCGGGAACGCCAGATACGCCTTGCCTTGATGTATATACCCGTGCCCATGCCCAATACAATGCTCCGTTTTGGTATCCAGGGTATTACGTACATTAGACAGAATGGGTACGGCCCATTCTGGCACTCGATGATGCATATACCGGTCGAAAATCGATATGATGATAAGAAAGGGATGTCCAGAGTCGACAATAAAGCGATTGCGCGTCGAAAATATCCGGCAACCTCAAAGCATGTCCAATGCGAGATGGCGGAAAGAATGGTACCTCCTTGCTAGTGGCGACAACGGTGACGAGTTTCGCTTGATAGGGAACACTATTGCTCGGAGGTGGCGTTTGATTCACGCTCTCGTTGCTCCTTCTGCGGGGCACGACGACGTGCGTTGATGAACCAGTTGCTGACCTGTGATTTCGTCAGTCTCTTTCGAAAGAAGTTGATTGTTGAGATATTAAGACACCCGAGAGGCGACAGGGCTGAGACTTACCTGGTTCAGGGACAGACTTGTCACTCGGCAAAGCTCTAATTTTTGGTCCTCGGTGGGGTATGGGGATTGCCTATTCGCAGCGAACCAATCCTTCAGGACGTTGGTAGCCTCCTTCGGGAGGTTGCCACGTCGCTTGCGGTTGAAGGCGTTGTGGTCGACGCCGACATGTTGCTGGAATCGAACGTCATAGTAGACCCCCGATTCGTATCCCGCAGTGGGTTGAGCAGCATATTGCGGATTGGCGTAGTACACTGACTCGCGACGATCATCATACGGGTAGGCGTGATGCTGGATGTGAGGATCCTGGTAATAGCTTTGTCTGCGATCGTACATCATCCCAGGTTGAGGAGGCTGCGCATATGATCCTTGGACGACCACCCTGTGTGCTTGCATGTGGGGCTGTTGATAAGGGACATGGCCTTGAGCGACTGGCTGGGACTGATGGCGGGCGTGCTGTGGTGCCGATGCAGGAGGAGGGTAAGGCAAGCTTGGACGGTGATGGCTGGGGCCTGCCGATTGTTGCCTAGCACGAGCTGGACCCGTATGGTACAGAGCAGGGTCAATAGCAGAGCTCACACGACGAGACTCAGCGGGCGGGTACTCTGCAGCATTCGAGGGACGAGCGTAGATATCGCCCAATGTGTCGACGCGCCTACGCTTGCTGTCTGACCATGTTACGTCATCGAACTGAGGGCGCACATGCGGGGAATTCTCCGTAGACTCATTCCTCCGTGATGGTGTGCGTGGTGGGGTCCTCTCAATTGTTGTTTGGACAAACTACGGGGGTCAGCTCAAAGAAGTTTCCAACTTTCGGACTGTACTTACCTCGTCAAACGAAGGGAGTTTCCCTGGGAAGTTTTGCTCGCCGGGCTGTAGCGGTGGTGAACTGCGTTGCAGGTGGTTCTGTGATGCTGTCTTAGTATTGCACCAATCGACGTATTCATCGTGCACTGCATCACTGCATTTAAGAGCGGCTGCAATGGTAGGGTCAGGGGTGCAGTCGGGGCCCGGCTTGTTCTTCTCCATCTCCACCTCGAGGAAAGTGTGAGAGGGGAATGTGCCCGGTAGATATGGCGGAGTAGGAGGGGAGACAGAAGAAAGTTCAGGTAGCACGATTTCCCTCGTCGGGAGGGTTCGCGCCTGCGCTGCTGTCTCTCTGCGGCGGGAGGCAAACACATAGCTTGCACGATGTGTGTGTGGAGGAAGGAACAACCGAACCGTGCCGGGGGTTGATGTACAGTCAAAGGAAAAGATATCACATACCGCTACCATGTGTGCCGCCGGCCTTTCATCTGACTGCGAAGCCATTCTGTGTGAATGTACGGGGTTGCAATGGCGCTGCGGGATATCATGAAGTGTGAGGTACTCCATGATTGGCACACCGACAGTCTTATATTCTGCTGAATGCTGTTAGTAGGTGTCTCTCGACGACTTGATCTTGTCAGGGTGTAATGTTGTCCCATGGTTCATGACGAACCACTCTTCCTGACAGCCAACCATAATTTCCAAACCACGCAGAGCGGCGAGGTTGTTGACAGCGAGGGAAATATTGATTGACGTACCTAATGGAATAAAAAGTGTTGTAGTGACGTGAAGGTTAACGAGCGGTGCCAGATTCCAGGGCAGTTACGACCAGGTTATATCGCAGATGTACTGGTGTCGGGAATGGTTCGTAAAGTCCGGGCCCAAATTATGATACACGAAGATACAATCACCTTGGGCTATACAAATGGAGTGTCGCAATTGGAAGAGGTCAGCCGGCGCAAGCACGCAGCAGTTCGCAGGTATGGTCAGGGTCCTGGTGACGGGCGCAAGGTGTTTAAGAACAGGTCCACGGCGAAGGAGGCGTTTCTGGGCAAAGCAAGACTGCAACGGGCCGTACTTCAACCATGCAGCGCGATCTTGCACCCAGGCAGTGCGCCAGGGGAATGCTAGCAAGCGCCAATGGAGGACAGACAGGCGCGTCTAGCACGACGTCTGCGCTTCTGACAGGTGCGAGTTAAGGTTTGGCCTATATTCTCCGAACGTGCACAACGCAGGCTTTAGCTGGGAGGGGAAACAAGAGGGCCTCCCACTACGCCGCAGAACTCGAGGCACGAGCCGGTGGTGAAGCCGCGCTATCTGCTGCAGGCCTTACGCCGGGCGCGCCATTAGAGTGTCGCCGCTTGTCTCCACCACTTGCCAGACTTGAGTCGACGCAGATCTTGCTGCATCCGACTCGACGTGGAAACGAGCACGGGCCGCTTCTGTTCGCAGCCCATTTCGTCGCGTGCCTTTCACTGGCTCCTTGTCGATTACCTCATCCGCGCTCCCACACACTGGCCGCCGCAGCAAGCTGTCAACGTTCCATTACGGCGACAGCGGGCGAAGCCAAGATCTGCCTGGCCTGCAAACAATCGTCTCAGGCCTTACCAGCTGCCAACTTTGTGCAGAACAAAGTTCGATCTTGGCAGCCTCGCTTTCCTTCGCGTATAACTGCCCTGGGATTATCCTCCACATTCCTCGCTCAACTTGGGCGCAGACCAGACCGGATGCACTCTTGTCCAAACAGAAGCAGTTCGTGCATCTTGCCAACAGCGACCCTAGTTGAGCTGCGCTCGACAGAGTCGCCATTGACTTCCAGTTGTGCAAGGGCCCGGTTGCACGACGACGGCTGAAGAGGCATGAGAGCGGGACTATTGAGGCAGGGCGCTATGAAGAGCTCTCCGCAAGTTTGGAGGGGCAGAAGCAACGTGAACGACACTATCTGCAACCGTACCGTCGACCAGAGCGGAGGTCAATCCGAGGAAGTGACATGTTGCGCGCGCCGGAGCCACGCTGATGGCTCCTTTGTGGCCCCAGCAGATGGCACCATGCCCGGTAGACAGCTGCCGCAGGCCCAAACCAGGCTGGTGGCTGACATCCGTGTACAGTTGTGCAACGGAGCTTTTCCAGCAGCCAGGAGCGGAAGGCTCACTGTCGTGTCATGATGTGAGATGGTACTAGTGCTGCAGCAGAGAGTTTTCAGAAGAAAAAGAGGCGTTCACAGTGATACAGGAATAGCAGCTGGGAAGACGACATGCTCTCAACCTGAGATTGTTTATGGGTCATCGTCGACAGCGATGCTTGTTCCTCCTCGCTCGTGAAGCAGAGGCAGAGGGGAGCCGGAGACAGCAGTCCCCTGCAGTGCAATGCTGGGCCTACTCGCGTTCGAGTTTGTCTCAAACCGCCAAGGCACGCGATATGGTAGGGCAGACCTGCCACTTGAACAATTCTCGCCAGAGCGGAGTCTGATGGTGCGATTCGCTGATGGAGACGATGCTACGTACGTCAGCCTCGACAAAGAAGAAATTTCGCACACGTGTGGAGGTTGCTGTCAAAGTGCAACAGCCTACGACGACTGCGATGACAGGTATGATGTCAAGCCAGCACCGACGCTCAGCGCTCGACCTGGTCGCGGGTGGATAAGCCCCTTTTTCGGTGCGGGCGGTTGACAGCTGTCTAACGACGCTGGTTGCAGTTTGCGGGAGGTTGCAACGACGTCTAGGCGGCCGTGATTGGCAGCAAGGATGCACGCCCCCCTCCTCGATCGAGGGTCGCGCCTTCCCGACGCGCTGAAGCCGGCCGATCAAACATTACACCAAACACCTCCCTCATCGCTCACCACGCAGCGCCGAGGACAAGATCCAGAGCCAAAGCAGTTTCGTGGCCTCAGATGGTTTGCGCTTGTTTGGTCCGCCAGCGAGGAAACTCTCTCCCTCTGGCAACGTTGCAGCTACCGATTTCTACGAAACCTTGACGAGCGTCCAGCCCTCACGCTGCGTTTCGCGTCCACGAATTTCGAGTCTTGAGTCTCGAGTCAGAGTCTCTGCCCACTCCCGCTCTCTGTCAGATCCGGCAGGCGAGCCGGACCTGCATCTGACCCTTCGGCGCTCCTGGGAGTGACGGCCTGCCCCGCCAAGCCGAGCACCCGGCCTTCCTTCACGTCGGCTGTCTTGACCGCTCTATGTTCGTGTGCCAGCGCAAGCCCCGCGCGCAGCGGCTGGGATCATGGTCGCTGTCGAACATCTTCGGCTGCAGGATCCTGGCTCGAGGATGAACCTCTTCCTCGGAACCACGCTGCTAGACTATTGATCCCCTGGACGGGCAGCTGCGTGCTCACCAGCCCCAGCGAGACCTTGCACAAGGTACGATGCGACCATGCGGAAGCGCTGGGTACCGCCACATGGTCGTACGGCAGCAGTTGACCGCCTGACAGTCCGTCACTCTGTTTTGCTGGGCGGCCGCTGTTCGTTTCTGTGTATTGCCAAGCCACAGTTCTTTCGCGCCATCAACCAGGGGCTGTCAGTATTGTACATGTAGCGTCGCCACTGCGTCACGACTAGGCCCCAATAAGCCTCGGAGCACGCTGCCATCCAATCCGGCTACTCGCCGCGGTCAATGCCGTAGCCGGAAGTTCGACTACGCGGCTTTCAACAGCCAGCACGGCGTTGTGCGTTCCAGAATGAGAGTCGTGCTGGCAACGTCTCCACGATTCTGACCCAGGGTCGTGACTGAACCCTTGCATGAACAGGATACAGTCTCCCATCTTACGGTTCATTACTAATCGGACCGCAGGTCATAGAGCTGGGCTGTCATACACGACGAAAGCCACGAACGCCACGGTGCTGGGTGCAGCCTTCACCTGCCCTTGAAGCTGCATCACATCCGGCTTCTCAAACATGGACGATTATTCGGTTCAAACTATTGTTTCCAGAGACTCTCGCGCCAGGCCTGGCGTCTGTCGGCCTCGCCACTAGTCTACTTGTAAAGATCTGGTGGCGTTGTGACTACCGGGCGCTAAACGCAGACGCAATTCTCAAACACCGCCCCGGTGCATAATTTTACTAATTTACATACTGAATATATGCTGTTGAGCCTGCAACATGAACGACTTCCCGACGTAACGATTGTGGCCGCCCTGATCTCAGTGGTACTATCGATCAAGTCAGGTGGTGTGGTCTGTGTCTCTCGGAAGACTACACGTCGAACAACGACATGGACGAAAACGAGAAAAAACAACGTGGGTGACATTCGTGACACATGTCTAGGGCTTGCGCTTCACCGTCAGACCGGAACACGGAGCCTACCTGCTCGGGTTCCCATATGTCGCATGTCTACGGAATTATCACGGTAAACACATGTTCACGCACGTAGGCCGCGGGTGCATTCCTTAAAAATCCTTGGGCCAGTAACACAAGACAAGGGTTTTATGCACATCCTTCCTCTTATTGATACGCGGAATCATCATCCCTCCAGTTGAGCGCCTTCAGTCTCGCCCTCCAATGTTCACAACATCAACGAATACCCGGTTCCTGGAACGGAGACCCTTGACATCGGCGCTGAGAGCTGAGCTCTACCTGTCCCAGATGCAGTTTGTTGCGATTTTGGCTAAAGTGTGGTCGTGAACACGCACAAGGAGCCACAATCCTACACGATAACGGATTACCTCGGTCTCCCTCCGTCTGCCGATTGCTCACATACCCACTTTGCTGCGGCTTCCAAAATCGCCCTGTATGCTCTGCGCCTGCATTCAAATTACGCATCCGATTCCCGGGTGTTGCATTATCTCGATGAGCACGTCGATCGCTCACTCGTCTTGCTTCCAGGCCTTCAGCCGCGCTGCCTCTTGGAAACAGGTGATTTGCAAATCAGTCCACCTTTCCTTTAGCCCACAATTATCTACACGATACGACCTGCAGTTGTACACCTGCCGCGTGTAATCAATGCCATGGCTGCTTGCCCCAAGCTCCTCCTATGAGTAACTCTTACAACGTCACTACTTTCAAAATGAGATCAGCAACTGCACATGAACTCAAACGGTCGTAAACAATGTGCGCAAACAAAAAGGCTATCGAAGGCAACTGCTGTCGAATCTGAAACATATTCCTGTTGTTAGGTGCACGTCAATCGCGTTTTCACCGTCGAGGGACTCCCAGAATAGCCCATCTAACGAATTCGACTCCCTCCAATTTCCCTTCGTTTGTCCAGAAAGAGCGCCGACTCCAAGTACGAAACCTAATCCACGTGCGAAACCTACCCGCCGCTATACTGGTACGATTCGACGAGCAATGTGCAGAACTGCATGGACTAGAACACGTCACGGTGGGGCCATCGCTACGGGTAGAAGCAAGTAGCTGTCGAAACACAACTGTCAGCTGGGAATTGCTCGTACCGTGGTCTTCACAACGTGATCGCTGTGAATTTAATTCGATTTGCATTACTTGTCACCAGCGCCCAGATCCACCTTACATGTGTCAAAATGTGGAGCTAAGCAAACCGTTCCCGTCGCACTGAAGAATGACTATTGAGTGGCTTTGCTCTGCGAATCGGCGCTTTCTCATAGTGTCTATGCCGTTCAGCGACCCATAATGTTACTTGCTTGGTCTGCGTATGTTCGTCCAGCTTTACTGGAGGTGGTTTAATGAGCCTGGGCGGCTGGCTAGCGAGAGCCGCTATGGACCCTGGACCGGCCGAGGCTGGTTCGTCCGGCCTTTGCATCGCAATTTTGTGCAGATCGATTTGACGATCTTGCGCCTTCATGACTCGTTTCAATTCCATCTTTCGACCTCGGACATCGTCAACATTGGAGTCCAAGTTGCTGTTGCTGTGACCCGTCGCGCGATTCCTGTGCCGGATCAGACGCAGACGGACTCACACGCTCACATAACTGTACAAAACCCACCATTGTACAAACCTCACCATTGTACTAGAATCGATGATAGAGAAACCCAGTGTAATGTCCGGGCCTCCGCGGAAGGATTCATTAACTTTCAGTCGACGAGGCAGTGCAAAGATCGACTCAACCTGGACGTTGTTCGCGTTTGATAGTCGTGATCACGAGCGCATCGCCAAACGCTCATCTCCAGACCAGCATTGTGGCGCCATTCTTGCAGATGGAGATGAGGATCACTCGCATTGTACCGAGCGCACACGTCATTGGCCGGCCGCCGGAACTGTCCTGCCGCTGTTCAGCGTACGACCATGATTTGCAATCTCGAGAATTCTCCATCAATCATGAACGATGGACATTTCAACTTGGCGATAGTCATGGCACCGCGCAGTCCTCGAATCGGATCCGAAGTGGCAGACTGACCGCCTGATATTGTCAACTGGTGTTTGCGTGCGACGATCTTGCTAAAGCAGCTTGCCAAGATGCTTTGCTGGTGGCTTGATCGTCCACCACGAAGAAGTCACCAACAAAAGCTCACGTCTGTTGTTCTTGTGCGAAAGCCAGCAATTGTCGGCGCAGCCAAACCCTGAGCCAACTCGATCTCACCAGGGGCTCACACATGCATCTATCATCATCCGCTTCTCGTCATGCAGTTGCCAAACCTCACAAAGGACGCTGAAGCAAGCAGCACGCTATCAAGTGTCACATTTGTCTCAACACGTGCATACTTATGAAACCACCGGCTGGTCTTCAGCGAACCTTCCGCTGTATCGTAACCGTTGCTCTGGGCCCTATACATCCAATGGTGTGTTCACTACGCATTAGATCAGGTACGGCTGATCTAGAAGCACAGTCTACCGACCCTATCCTGCGATCAGTGCACCATGTGTGTGCGACTACTCAGGCTAAGGAACTCCATTGCACCTAAATCGGAGGCCTGGACAGCGAATGGTGACTGGCGCACCTGCATCGCTATCATCCTTGGGAGTCCCGCGTGGCTTCACCGGAGCCTTCGCGCATCGCGCGCATACGCCTGAAACTTTGCTGTATCCGTCTTCTCTCTGTGTTTAGTGGCAGCTTGCTTCTCCCAGTTCCGCATTGGGAAGGTATTCTCTGATTGCGACCAGCAAGCTCGTTTATGCAGGTGATCTGTACAGATTCGCAGTGAACTGCCACACATGACGCTGATCTCTTGTGGATTCGATCAACGCTTCGTGGAATCTCTCACTCGAGTTTCTCGTTATCAAAGAACCCAACGTCAGCAACATGGGAGCTGACGTGGACCAACTCACCGCGCAGCAGAGTCGAGACTTCTGTCCCAGCAATCAAACCTCCCAATTCAAGAGCAGCGCGACCACCTTGACAGCACATCATCTTTGTCGATACCCCTGTGAAGAGTCCCCTCCCCGGTCCCCAACGATGCGCAAAAGCCCACAACAGCTGACAAACAGACTCCCCTCCACCGGCAGACGCGGCAACGCTGGTCGCCACTGGCTCAGCGCCCCGCTGCTCGCGCAGCCGCATCACCACACTGCCCACTGGATCCGCGCATTTCCACCCCTTTCGCGACATCCAATCAGAGCCCCAGGAGCCCTCGTGTCGATTCCTCGTGTCCAGGGCTCCCGAAGGTACGCGCTGTCATCGCGCGCAATCCGCTGTTCTGCCGCCTTGACAGCTGGGCTAGAGCGAGCCAAGGACCGCTGACCGGACGAGGTGACCGGATTGGTTGAGATGGGAGCGAAGTGGGAGTGCGGTAGCTCGGTGCTAGGCGAAATGAGGATGGCTTTGCGGTGCATGTCACTGTTTGCTAGGCTTGTGAGTGGGCGGTGGAGGGTTGGCAGGCGTAGGTGGATTTCGGCTGGGAGTGGAAGCGATGCAAGTCTGCGATGTTCAAGAGGCACTGCAGTGGCGGTCTACGTCCGTTAATCGCACACGAGGTGCTTTGTCGGAACTCCAGAGGAGTGGATGTGTCAGAATGGCCTTTTTGTCACTACATCAGTACATACTGACAAGCCCTCAATAGTGGTATATCTTAACGTGAGGCCGAAGACGAGGTCAACTGCATTCAACGAGTGTAGGTCATAATCCATTCGCGTTTACTCATCGTAATGATCCAGCAATAACGTGTGAGCATGAGGCAGACAGTAAAAGGATAGTAAGTTAGCGAGGCTGCTGTTGTAGGGAAGCCAGGAAGGTGCTGGTGCAGGCGTCAGATGTAAATTGAACAGGGAGCGAAAACCCACGATCGAAGCAACCAGCGCAAGAGCGACGAGAAGACTCTCAAGCAAGGTCATAGGCACACGGCCATACAACACTCAGCCACACAACACTCAGCCATACAACACTCAGCCATACAACACTCAACCATACAAAACTCAGCCGTACAATACTCAACCATACAACACTCAACCATACAACACTCAGCATTCAGTAGGCCCAAAACGCTTGATGAATCTTCAGTCAAGCAGGGAAGATTCTAGGCGTCTATGTACAAGCCAGTTACATGAGCCCACCGACAAGCAGACATCTTTGGATGATATTGGAATGCCTGCCCGGCGCTACGGAGGATCCTGGAGTATCTCTCTCCCACTTGCTTCGACAAACATAGCCGACGAGGTTTGCTTGCACAGTGGTCTTGAAAAGCACCTACGTAAAAGATGATTGTGCACTGTTTAGACGGAGCGCACGCTCGCTCACGATTTGGCAAATATCTTTTGTGCAATAATCCCTGATTCACTACGCCAATGCCCATTCAGTACCGACGTTGCGGACTTTTTCAACTGCACCGTGCTGCTAGCGAGTAGCACTTGGTTCGACGACATTCACCCGGGAAAACATCAACTACGGCCACCACAATGTCAGAAAGCGACTGAGACAGATACCAACGGCGTCGACGCACTAAGAAGAAGGAGAAGGTCTCAGAATTGAATTTCCTAGACGCGATTATGAGTCATTATACAAAAGCATGAAGCCCTTTCATACCTGTCCAGAATGAAGCCCTTTCATACCTGTCCAGAACGGACTTCTGAACCACATTGGCTCCGTCACGCCGTTCTTCTTTAAGGCAGATCTTCAACCATCGAACCCGACTGATGGACGGTGCGCGGGGAAACTCATGCGGCACTGTTACACTTCGTTGTCCGTGGGCAGCGCAAAACATCCAAGCGCTCAACGCAGTACAGAAGTGTGCAGACTTCTTCGCAGCCCTTCATTTCCTTCTTCGACCAAGAAACCGAAGACGTCCATCACCAGCACAACGCCGTGTCGTAGAGCCTCGTCATCTTTGGACATGCACTTATAAGCATTCCAGTGAGCCCTATGGCCACGCCCCCGCGACGGAAGTTTCACCAGCGGCAGCAACCCCGCACCTCATCGGATACACGACGACGACAGGGGGAGGACCCATTGACGTGCTGTTGAAGATCAGGATGCCGCAGACATACACAACAAAGTCCACCGCCGCCGGAGACACAGGGTACTGAGCATTTTGCTCAACGAGCGGGATGTGGTGGGTTGAAGCGCACATCGCCGTGGCCCGTGGGGTCGGGCACCGAAGCGGAGGCTGGGGTGTGGTGTAGGTTTATATTGCTTTGTTGACAGGGAGAGTGCGGAGCTGACAAGTCGAGTCTGAACAATGGGTGGTGCTGGAGTGGAACAGGAACAGGACAGGATAGGACAGGACAGGACAGGACAGGACAGGACAGGACAGGACAGGATAGGACAGGACAGGACAGGATAGGACAGGACAGGACAGGACAGGACAGGACAGGACAGGACAGGACAGGACAGGACAGGACAGGACAGGACAGGACAGGACAGGACAGGACAGGACATGAATAGGACAGTACAGGACAGGAACAGGACAGGAACACATTGCAGAGAGCCAATGACGCTTGACCGCGTGCGGTATATCCTCCGGTCGCGCACAATAAACAGGAGACTGAGTTACTTGCATGATCCACACCGACTTCCCCTACCCTACTACATAACCCACGCCCCCATCCGCATTCCAAGGCGGAAATACACAACAACCGCGCTGACTCGCACAAAATGCTGTCTCTACATCCCGATCTACATCCTCACACACACAACCAAGCCGAGCCGTCATCCCACGCCTCGCCAAACCCTCATCACTCCAGAAGCCGAGTGGTACGGGTCATCATGGTCGGGAGCGGGGGACGAGAGGACGGCGTGGACGGCGTGGATGGCGTGGATGGCATGGCGTGGATGACATGGCGTGGATGGCGTGGACGGCGTGGACGGCGTGGATGGCGTGGATGGCATGGCGTGGATGGCGTGGATGG